CAGTTCTAGTTGGGGCAGAGAATAGCGGTAAGATTCCAAATCTACATATGAATCGGGCAAATGAAAATCAGACACATCACAATTGGCATGAAACAGCTCGCCGTATTTTAGAATTGGACCGTCAACGAAATCGTCGCCATTGATCCCAACCAGCCTGTCAAACTCTGCCAAATCAGAACTGATATCGGTCATATCAACCAAATTTGGGCTCTCTAGGAAACATTGAATATCGCTGGAAATACGCCCCGTCACTGAAGTGAAATCATTCAACTCAAGGGAATTATACACGGAATTCAGCGAGAAAATATCGCCATCGTCCTTGTCAATGTGATGGTACTTTAAAGGATCAATGAGGCGTTCAGATTCGCTTGTGATGTAGCTTTCTAGAAAGCTGAGTACAGTGGAAAAGGTTTTGTGGAGATCGAAATTTTCTCCTCCATCCACATCAGCATGATGCTTCAAGGTATCGGTTTTATAGAAATTGGCATCATCGAGGTTGATTTGCGGAAAAGTCGATTCTCCACAAAACTCCAAGTGATTTTTAATTTGGTCGTCAATATCATGCTTAAGCTCGTGCTTCTTTTTCTTTTTCGAATTTTTCTGCAAGCCAGGCGACTTGTAGCCGTTATTGGCGGAAAAATATTGTTGCTTGGCTGATGAGAAAGCAGAAAAATTATCACATCCATCTACAGAATGAATAAAATCTTCCTCCGTAAGGAACATAAAAGGATTTGAAGGTTTTGGGATTGTATTTTCCTGGGAAATGGAGGAAAAAGTGGCCGATTTGGATGGCTTGAAATCGTTTTCTTTACTCGCCGTCCTGTGATCATTGTCCTTTTTTACCATTGAACTAACAATGGAAGTTTGCGACTGAATGTTTTTAGGCTTTGCAGGTTTCTGTAAAGGATCGCTGGTTTTTTTAACGGAAGATTTGGATGTGAATGCACTATTTTTACATTCGACAGGCTTTTTGGGCATATGATCAGGGTTAGGGGTATTGCTAACATTCAATGGGCTGGACTTTGCTGCAGCCAAATAAGTAGGCTGGACCGATTTTGTTGCTGTAGGATCTTCAAAATCAGTAAGCGTATCCAAACCAAAGTTGAGTTTATCCAAAAATTCGATGCACGAATTGTTGATGTCCTCTAAAGAGCAGCAAAATTTGGGTGTTTGTTCCTCAAAATCGTGTGGCGATTTAGCTTCTGTCAAACAACCGAAAGGTGTCGGTGATTTGAAAGACTCAAAAAGATCAGACATCGGAAAATTTGGTTCTGAAAACGGGAGATCACTCGAAGTGTGTTCCGTATTTAAATCAGCCACAAATGTAAACCTTGATGATGACCTAGCCGGGTGCATAGACGACACGGATTGTAAATCTTCATTAGGTGCTTTTGATGGGGAAATTGGCAAAGCTATCTCAGCAGAATCGGCGTCAGTTTGCGCACATTTGATACTTGTCGCTTGGCTTTGATTCAACGGGGCATCTTTAGGGTCATTTTCAGGGGATCCACTTGGGCTTGCATTTTGATCGAAAGACCCGAGATTGGCGTTGGATATTTCCGATTGCGCTTGTGAAGACACTCCGAACAGCCTTTTCAATGAGATATCTCTTTGACGGTGAGAAAGCGACTCTTTGGTGTATGAATTCTGGCTTTGGCCCAGTTCGTGTAAATACAGACAGTTTGATTGATTAGGGCACGTTTGTCCTCGTAAGAAAAAGGCGCAATATTTCGTGGTGCCATATGTAGCTCGAACTAGACATCCTTCAAGCAAAGAATTGTCAATATTCCCAATCGCTACGGATGCATCCTCTGGCTTTTCAAACGTAAGAAATGCAGAGACCGTTGGAAACGTTGCTGCTGCCGTAGAGGTTGACCTTTTAGAGCTACTAGATCCAGAGTGATGCCCCTTAATATTGATGACAAGCTTTAAGATATTTCCAAACTTTCCAAAATATTTTTTTGATGCAAGAAGCTCTTCAAGAGCAGAAATAAAGACGGGATTAAAAATCGAAGTGGAGCGAGAAGAAAACGTCTTCTCAAACCGGTACAGGGAAAGAGAAAGAGGAATTCCAACCACATAGACAAGATTAGACTGCAGAACCCGAACATCAATCAAATGCTTTCTAGATGCAAGAACATTTCCAAGCGGTGCCCCACCTCGGGTCCCGTTATTATCAAGCGGGATAATCTGGTCAGAAGACAGGGTGGTAGCTGCTGGCTTCTTTTTCTTTAGACATGCATTGCCTTGAGTGGTGGATAGAGGCTTCAAAGAAACAAGGGGGCTATCTTCCTGCTTGGAATATGACCTACGGCAAGCGGGACACAGGTCATTAAGGACAAATTTGATGTGGTGCCAGCAAAACCTGCAAATTTGATAGCCACATTCGCAGGGAACAAAGTTGACATCGCCCATGTCAACCTGCTCCATGCAAAGTGGGCAGTCCCACTGCTCGATGTTTGATAGCTCATTGGCCAGTGTGCTTGAAAAGGCCGTCGATCCACCCGATGAATTGTTGTTACCGTTTGATTTTTTCTTAAGCATAGAGGAGGCAGCTATAGATTCTTTTGGTGCCTTGCCAGATTTTCCAAATTTAGACTTTCCTAGATTGATTGTGACCCCGTTGGATGGTTTGGGCGATGTGCTTAAATCAGCTGATCCATACGAATGCATGGATAAAACGGACAGAGGATATTAATTAAAATGCAAATTATTTTTACTTTGCTGCTAGTTTGCAAGACATCATTTCTTTTCATTTATGTGTAAATTTAAATTTACAAGCTGTCAATTGGGCCTTTACACCAATTAAAGGGCTGATCCACACATCAACCAATGGATCAACATTTGATGCATGATCGGGCTCTTTTATTTCATTTACGCCCTCCATTATGAGCTCGATATCTTCCCTACCAAGGATCCAGATTAAGGGCACCATTAAGCAAGAGTATAAGAATATTCTCACAGAAAATGCATGTTCTTTTCTGATCTTTCTTCACTCTGCATTTGAACCAGAGCGAAGAAAACTCATGGACTCCAGAGAGCTATTGCTTCAGAAAATAAATTCAGGATGGAGGCCAACTTTTCCAACCGAGACCGAATACATCCGAAACGACCCCATTTGGGTGGGTGCTAGTCCTGCACCTGGTTTGATTGACCGTCGTGTTGAAATAACGGGCCCAGTTGATTGCAAAATGATAATTAATGCGTTGAACAGCGGAGCCACGCAATTTATGGCTGACTTTGAAGGTTTCATTTGAATTTTGACGTGTTTCGTAGATTCCAATTCCCCCACTTGGACTAATTGTATGGATGGCCAGGTCAACTTAAGAGATGCTACGTGCAAAAAAATATCTCTGACCATCCCAAACGGAAAGACATACAAGCTGAAGGGCAAAGTCGCCACTCTTCTTGTTCGGTAAACATTGTTTTTTATTGTAGACCGCGAGGGTGGCATCTTGTTGAAAAGCATGTCCTTATTGATGACCAACCAATTTCTGCGTCGATCTTCGATTTTGGATTGTTTTTCTTCCACAACGCCCAAACACTGATCCAGTCGGGCGTGGGTCCATATTTTTATTTGCCAAAAATCGAGCATTACCTGGAGGCCAGGTATGATGGGCATATCAACTTAACGCCATAGATTGTGGAATTCTATTTTTAATGCCTCTCAAGATTATCTTGCCATTCCAAGAGGAACCATTAGGGCCACGGTGTTAATTGAAACCATTTTGGCCTCTTTTCAAATGGAGGAAATAATTTATGAGCTTAGAAGCCACTCTTCGGGCCTCAACTGCGGCAGATGGGATTACATTTTTTCTTTCATCAAAAAATTTGGAGCATTTAAAGAATTTCTACTTCCCGATAGGTCTCAAGTGACCATGAGTACCCCCTTCATGTCTGCATACACGAATCACTTGATTTATGTCTGTCACAAGCGCCAAGTTCATGCTATGGGCGGAATGGCTGCACAAATTCCGATCAAGTCCAACGCAGAACTAAATGACAAAGCCTTGAACAAGGTTCGCGATGACAAGCTTCGTGAGGTTCTGGCAGGGCATGATGGAACTTGGGTAGCCCATCCAGATCTTATACAAATTGCGAAAGAAATTTTTGATTCCAATATGCAAGGTCCCAACCAACTTCATGTCAAACCGTCTCTATCAATCAGACCGGGCCAGCTGTTGGATGTCTCCATCCCCGGGTCCGAGGTTACTCTTTCTGGAGTTAAAGATAATATTGCAGTTTGCTTGTTGTATATGGAATCTTGGCTCAACGGAAGTGGGTGCATTCCCATCAACCATTTGATGGAAGATGCTGCAACCGCCGAAATAGCAAGAACGCAACTGTGGCAATGGTTGAGACACTCTGTTTCGGTAAAGCTCTCATCCAACTCATGTGCCAGATTGACAAAGGATTTACTTATGCAATATCTTAAGGACGTTTCTTCAGAACTGAAATTAACATCATCTACCGGGGTTCTCGCACAAACTAGACTTGCCCAGCTTCTTTTTTCCACAGACGCCGAATCTAAATGCCCCGAGTTTTTGACCTCCGCCTGCTATGACGATATTGTTAGGTATGTTCCATCTGCAACATTGAATGCCTCCAAACTATGACCCTTTAGTCGATAAATAAATTGCACCGAGTATAGCAATATTTTAAGTGTCCACCGGTTCAGTTTATAACTCGATCGATGGATTTTGGCACCGACATGTTGCGTGTCGGCTATTGTTGACGACCAAAGGTCAATATTTTGCTATCTACGTGCCAAGTTTTTATTAATTACTTGAGGGAGTCCCTTTCTTTCTCATTCTTAGAGTATCGTTTTGAGCTTCAGAGCTCTTCTCAACAGATTTCTGCTCAGTCCTTGCAGGTGCGTCGGTCACTCCTTCCTCTTGCTCGTTTTGAAAGAACGCTGCAAACGGCGATTTGGGAAGGGGGAAAGGGCGGCTCAGATCACCAACGGCAGGGAATCCTAAAAGATGGATTTTCACAATCGGAGCGGATAAGAACGATTTTAGCGGTAAAATGGCTTGCAAAATCAACGGCTGCGTATATTCAAACTTCAAGTGAAGAAAGAGAAGGAATGCACAGTTGAGCAAGTTTTGTTTGACAAGCTCAAGCAAATTTGTACTGTCGTATTCTTCAATTGTCATCTCGATCGAAGTGGCCGATTCATCCGAGAAAGGCTTTGCGGGCACTATGACAACGATTTTTGCGTCTCGTTCGGCTTTTTTCCTGATTCTGCGAGAAATAATATAGGAAAGAACGAGCTGGGTAAGTTGCGACAGGAAATATGCCGTTCGGACAAAAATTAGGTACTTTGGGTTTATCAGATCAAAGTAGCGTATCACCTGGACAAGAAAGAAGAATATGGCGAGAGACTTGAGCTGATCAGAAAACATTATCGAATAAAATTAAAATTTATGTAAATTTTTTTAACTTTTCTAGGTGAGCATGGAATCCGCTTCGGTGGCCGTTTGTGTCCATTTTAATCCATTGCATTCGTTTGCCTTCCAAACTCCATTTTTGTTCTTTGCAGGAGATTTCTAATGCATTCTAGGTACAGCAAGAGCATAAGGTTGTACATGACAATTATCCCAAACGCTTCTGCTGCACATCCATTTGACACAACTGGCGACGAAGATAGCCGCGTAGAAGGAAACATACGTAAGTAAACGGACCGACCAGTATATCCTAACCATATGCCATTGATGATGCTATTACCTTGAAGATGCCATGTAAATGGCGTCGATGATTCGAATGTCATAGTTACCCTGAGGCGTGTATTGTTTATCTCAATTTTCGTTATGCCATTGTCTTTAAATGCCTTTTTCACCTTTTTCTTCCCCTTTCAATAACCTTTGTAGACATTCGAATCCAACAACGCAATGGACGCAAGACGATCACCACCGTAGAAGGGGTTCCAAAGGAATATGACCTTAAAATGATCCTCAAGGCCTTCAAAAAGGATTTTGCCTGCAATGGTACGCTTGTCACCGACCCCAAGATGGGAGAAGTGATGCAGCTGAATGGCGACCACCGCGATAAAATTTACGACTTTCTTATTGCCGAGTCCATAGCCAAGGCGGAAAATGTAAAAATCCATGGCTTTTAATTCAACGATAAATTGGATTAAAGATTCGCCCTTCTTAATGCTTTATTTCAGCCTAATGCTCACCTGTAATAAGTTAATCCTGTGCAATCGAAAGCGAGGCAAGGCTGACAAGCAGGGGCAGCGTGGAAATATTCTCGATGTTGTCCAAAGCCTTCCTCAATATGGGTGTGTAGCTTTTGATGATCACAGATTCGATGCGCCGCAGTGCTGTGGCGATGCTGCTGCTGGAGTGTCTTGGCATGTTGGATGATCCGGGGAGAATTCTTCTGTTTTGGATACACCTTCGGATTATTGTAGCATGAACAGAGAGTAGCGCGTTGATCCACTCCAGCAAAAGCTGGAGGTTGTTATTTTGTGACTCTGCATACACGGCAAGGGCATTTAAAAGACGAAGGGCCCAGCTGGGAGACATCAGAGCCGAAACGGCGCGGATCGGTATTTCTTTAGAGGCGCCAATGGTGTTTATCATGTGGTTTTGTAAGGGCACATCGTTGAGCTTCAGGGCTATGACAAGGGCTGTGGTTGCCATTGAGGGATCTTTGTTTTCACCAATGGCTGCCATAAGTGTGGCCAATGCTGTGGTCGAAGTCACCTCAAAAGAGAGGTCAAAGGGATCAAACATTAGCGACTCATCCAAAGAGAAAACGTAAATACCCTCGCCCTGCACTAGGGCAGAAATGGAGCTTCCAGAAGCAACTAGAGTCTCAATAACAACAACATCCGATGATGTCGACGGGGAAGGGACAGCAGCAGGGTGGATTGGGATTCCCTTGAGATAGGGACGGTGGGCGGCTTCCATGCCAAAGACGCTGATAACCCCACAGGATCCCGCTGCAAACAAGAGCGCCGAATCCGGGCTATAAGTTAGTGTGCGAAAGCAATTGGTAGATGCCGCTTTGGAAAGTTGCAGTGCAGATCCTCGTGGCATTGCATCGGGCTCAATGGACGAAATCTGGGTAAGACTCTCTGTGTCGCAAAAAATAACAGCCCCCGACAAGAGTGAAATGGCAACCTCGCTTGCATCTGGGCGGGCTGAAATGGCTAAAACTTCTGACCCAAGTGTGATGACGGCCGTGGCTGTTGCTGACCCTCCTTCTGAAGAGCTCCCCAAAATATCCCAAAGCCGTACGGTCTTGTCCATGGAACCTGTGATGATCCACTTCCCGGCAATTGGATCGATGACCAAGGCTGTAATCGTGCTTTGATGGCCACCAAGGACATCAACAACGTTTCCCGTAGAAATGCTCCACACAAAAATGCTAAAAGGAGCGCCAATTGCTGCAGAAACAGGGGTCTCTGTCGTTGCAGCCACCAGTTCGCCCAAGGGGTCCGCCGCAAGCAAGGAAATCGGTCCCATCGAGGATGGTGGCATGCTCAGAGTCCTAAAGTTGCGATAGCGAAGCAAATCAAAAGCACGAATGGTCCCATCTTGAAAACCAGCGACAATAACTTTCCCCCGTTTGCAAAAGGCAAGGGAAGTGGTGAGGTTCGCGTCCTTTGTTTCAGAATCGCGAGTCTGCCCCCCCAATGTGATGAAAGAAAAGTTCGTCATGGCATCCCAAAGGATGACACCGCCATCTCGAGAAGAGCTGCTGGCAATTATGGAACCGTCAAGATTGATTGCAAGGGCTCCCCTAGCCGAAGTTGCAAGCAAATTCGATGTATTCGAAGGGGAAGCAAAAGCAATGCTCTTTTGCCGAAGTTGAAACGATTCAGACCCCCATTCCCAGACCGTAAGCTCTCCGTGTTCTTTCGTCGCCAAACCAATCCACTCGCCTCGTGCAGAAAGTGAAACAGAAGAAATAGGTGCCTGGAACGCAGATATTGACTGCAAAACAACACACGTGTTTTCTGGATTATGGACCCCAGAAAGGTCATAAATTGTAAAGACCCCATTGGAAAGACCAACGACAAGAAGATCCCTGGATGCGCAGAACGCAGAAGCAGTAACAACTACTCGATTCATCAAATTCATAAATTCTCGTTTAGCTAGACCCCAGCGATGCGTACTCATCAACGAAGATGGATACAAAAGATCATCTGAATCAACTGCATCAATGTGATGTCTCTGATCGCCGCTAACGTTTAGTTCAAAATTGTCTGCCCCATCGACATTATCAAATGAAGTTTCAGAAGGATCCTTTGAAATCCACCTCCAATGAAAAAGCGCACCCTCTTGCGAGACGCTAACGATGGTTTTAAGGGAGGATGTGAAATATGCCCCAACAAGTGGGTCTTTGTGGCCCGAGAGTGTGTATGGGTGATACTTGAATTTTGATCCCCTCTTCGTAACCAGTAATAGCTTGCTCGTCATATCGACAGAAGCGGTAAGTACATACCTTAGTGTAAAGACAAATGAAATTTCTTACTTTGAACACGGGGACCAACAAACTGAGGTTATTTCATCTGAATGGCATCGGATTCGCACGATTTCCTGAAGAGGCGCCCTGGAAAGATCAGATCCGTGCTCAAAGAGGTCAAATAAAGACCAAATCTGCACAAACTTTGGATACGCAATCGCAAACAGCCTAAAATTAAAAGCGATCAGACAAATGCATTTATAAGGTCAAAGGGGAAGGTGAAATCGAGTAATATGCCGATCAAATCAAGTAATATGTCGATGAAATGCTACAAAGGCAATGGCTATCATAAATAGGCCAAACAAATCAAAATTCACAAAAATGCTACCTGGAATCTGGCGAAAATTTCACCACGCTGACGGGATGCTTGAAATTCATGCGCGAAAGAATCTGCCCAGAGGCATAGTTGGCAAAAACTGCCTTTCCGTCTACAGAAAAAGATAAATCATTTGGGACAATACGTTTCTCAATGGCAAGAACAAATTTCCCATTTGGCGAAATGTGCATTGCATTAATCTGCTGGCGCGTTTCGAATGGAAAAGTCATGAGAGAAGGCGATGTTGCCGAACAATCGAACTTTGAAATACGAGTCCCAACAGGGGATAATATTGTTGTATCTTCTGGCCCGAACTCTATATTTCCAGCACTATAAGAAACTCCGCAAACAGCCGAAAGCTTGAATGGTAAAATCGAAATGGTATGGATACCTTGTAGGCTAGTTTCATTCTTTAAAATAAAATTCTTATTTCATTTTAAAAGCAGTTAAGGTCAAAAGTACATTTAAGAAATTAATTTGTAAATAATGCGCAACGAATTAATCTGTAAATATGCGCAACGAATTAATTTGTAAATATGCGCAACCAATTGGCCTAATCCTAAAAGTTCTCTTTAAATCCACTTTTGGACCAATGGCGCGTCGGGGTAATTTATCCCTGCGATTATATTCCTCAAAAGGCCCACCTTATCTAAAAATAGAGTCTTATAAATCTCAAATGCATTTTGTTTTCGTTTAAATCTTGCACGTTAAATGATAAAAATAGCTCGAATCATGGGGTTGAAAAAGGCAGCAACAAAGAATCTTTCGGAATCCAATCCACCACCAGCCTCAAATGATTCCTCTGTTCCTAGCGAGGCTGTGATTTCAAACGAGCTCTCAACCTCTAATGAATGGTCTGGCTTTGGAAAGAGAATATCACGGAGATGCAATCACATCATGAGTCAAATGAAGAGAAAAGATCCGAGATGCGAAGCCACAGCGAGTGAAACCACAGAAGCTAATGCTCCTCGGACCAAAAAATGGAAAAAAATTGAAACCTCAAATTGACATCACAGGAAACGAAAACATGAATGCATCCAAGGCGCTACCATTCTATAATACAAAGCTCCCTGCTGTACACAAACCTATCTCTCCAAGCCTTCAGTTGAAGGGAAGCCATGGATATGAAAATCTAAAGGAAGGAAAGCAACAAAATGAAGGCTAATTTGAACATCTTCTATCCTATGACACCATCTTGCCTGCTGTTTAGCGAGCCTACCCTACTGACATGCCATAGTTAGTGCGTGTTAGCTTACTTTCAGACTGACATAAAGTTTAAAATTAAGAATTGATGATACGGATGATGCATCATTGGGACGCCCACACTTAATCTACGTTGGACACAGGGGATCGGTGGGGCAATTGACAGTTTCGCCAATAAAATTTTAATTGCTTTTCTTTCTCATTGTACGTACATGCGTAAGATGTGGCACTCCTCTAGGCTCAAATCGGCCAGAATGTCTCTGTTCAAATCAGGTGTCTTTTGTGCTGGTACAATCGTCTCTTCTTTTGTAATTCTAGCGTATGTTGAAGAACAAAGACTAAAAAATGAACGAAAAGAACAGGTTAATTTCTGGGGCAAATTACAATATTACGTTGGCAATCTTCACAGCAATACGCTAAAAAGTCACAACGCCAAATTCAACAATCGATTGACATGGGAGCTGGAGAATACCTGGTCCAGTCTCACATCCGCCCAGAAGACTTTATCTGCGCTGATTCTGGCCAACACCGCTGTATTTATTGGATGGAAAATCCCAGCATTGGTTCCCTTCATGCAGCGCCATTTTCTTCATTCTCCGCTTTCCAGTCCACACACACTATTAACATCCTCTTTTAGCCATTCCTCGTTCTTGCACCTATCATTTAACATGATAGCCCTATCTGCATTTGGTGGCTGGATACATCAAGAGCTTGGAAGAGAGCAATTTTTATTTATGTATCTTTCGGCCGCAGTGACCTCCTCGTTTGTTTCGCAAGCATGGAAAGTGCTCGTTGGAAGAGAGAACATGCTCCACATACCATCACTTGGCGCATCTGGTGCGATCATGTCTTTGTTTGCAGCAACTGCTCATAGGAAGGACATCTCCATAGGATTAATCCTGCTCCCTGGCATCCATGTACCTTCAAACGTCGCTGTAGCTGGAATGGCCGCCGTGGATGCCTACTGCCTGCTTTTTAGATCTGCCACAAGCAGATTCGACCATGCAGCGCACTTGGGCGGCTCTGCATTCGGGTACATTTATCCAATATACATTCCAAAACTCCTTTGGGAAAACAAAAGAAGCATTTTGGGATTTGACAAGTAATTCAACCCACCTTTTCACGCCTTGCAATCAAGTCTGCCTGTGTGAGAGAGGCCATGAATCAGCACCAAGCGGGTCATTAAATTATTTAAATTTTAAAAATTAAATTTGCAATCAGCAATCACCCTTGCTCAAGCTTTTCATTTTTCTAATTCTCGAATGACTACAGTCCGTGACATTAACGCACATCAGTTTGTCAAGGCGTATGCTGCCCACCTCAAGCGCACCGGTGCACTTGAGGTTCCATCCTGGGTCAATATTGTGAAAACTGGAACGTCAAAGGAGCTTCCGCCTCAAGATCCAGACTGGTTCTACACTCGCGCTGCCTCCATCGCTCGCCATATCTATCTGCGCGGTGGCGTAGGTGTAGGCGCATTGCGTACGGTTCATGGTTCGCGCGCTAACCGTGGAAACCGTCCCTCTCACCATGCAATTGGCTCCGGCTCTGTTGACCGCAAGGCTCTGCAGTCTCTCGAGAAACTAAAGGTCTTGGAAAAAGACCCATCTGGTGGCCGCCGCATCACTTCAAACGGTCAGCGCGAGCTTGATCTTGTCGCCAAGCTTTGTGTAAGTTCATCTGCTCTCTAATCAAATAAATTACAACAAACCCCAGTTTCCAATTGGATTTCATAAAAATGAGCCGCCATGGCGAATATGGGCCGTGCTTCATTCTGATCGTATTTTTAGAAGGGGCAATTTCTACTATTCAAGTGTGAGGTTTGAGATTCCATTTTTTATTCGCACACCTTATCACAATTACCTGTAAATTACAGACTAAGTGAGGCCACATAATCCTGGATGTTGTCTGACGGGAAGCGCTTTACAACATGATTTTCACAAAGGTAGATTTCCGTGCAAATACTCTGAAGCAAACGGACATCATGGGAAACAACCACAACTGCACCCTGGAAGGCCTTTAAGGCGGCAATCAGAGCATCGATGGCATCCATGTCTAAATGGTTGGTAGGCTCATCTAGCACCATCACATGGGGCCGTTGGAGCGAAAGTGCCGCAAAGACAACTCGAGATTTTTGCCCACCAGACAGTGTGCTTATTTGCTGCAAAGCAAGTGCGCCAGAAAGTCCGAAGGCACCAAGGTGACGGCGGGTTTCTTCGAGATCAGCTGCACGTCCGGGATCGCCAAACCGGCCGGCCAGCGCCTGCACGGCAGAGAGACTCATGTCAAGCCTATCAACGTGGTGTTGGGCAAAATATGCGACGCGAAGACGGCCCTGTACGGAGATTTTTGTCGCTCCACTGGTAGGCTCAAGATCCTTGGTAATTATCTTAAGGAACGTTGACTTTCCAGCGCCGTTTGCACCTACCAGAGCAATTCTTGCTCCGGCGTGGATAGAAAATGCATCACAAGTAAGTGAAAACCCACCACTTGGATACTGGAACGTTAATGTGGAAATATCGAGCCAAGGTTCGGGAAGTCGATCAGCGATCCCGGAAAACTGAAAAGAAACAGGCGGATCCACAGGCCATGGCTGGATAATGGGTAGCTTTTCGAGGACCTTGATCTTGGACTGCGCCAAAGCGGCCCTGGAGGCCTGGTAGCGCCAGCGGTCAATAAATACCTGAAGTGACTGGCGATATGCCAAGTTAGCAGCCCGCTCACGCTCGTGGTGAATTTGGCGCTCGGCTCTGGCTACAACAAATGAGGAATATGTAGCATTCTTGTAGCTGTCAAGAGTTCCGTGGTGCAAATGAAGGATATCGGTTGTGATTGTATCAAGAAAGTCACGGTCATGAGAAACTACAATCAGCGAGGAGCGCCATTCTTCACTCAAAAAGGAAGAGAGCCAACGCACCGAGGGCAAATCAAGCATATTTGTGGGCTCATCCAGCAGCAATAGATCTGGCCGGCAAAAGAGAGCTCGAGCAAGTGCTAAACGCATTCTCCAACCGCCAGAAAATTGCCGTGTCGGCTGCTCCTGAACGGCGGGCACAAATCCAAGTCCGGCAAGTATCGTAGCGGCCCGCGCTCGCGCACCATCGGCACCAATTTCTGCCATGCGAATGTGAATCTTTGCGAGCTCTGCGAGTGCAGAGCCGCGGGCCGCTTCTGTGGCTGCAGATTCTGGTTGCGTTGCCATAAGAGCCTGAAGCTCTTCTTCCCTTGCAGTTAGTGAAGAAAGCAGCACATCAGCCTCCATGACCGAAACAATAGCAGGTGTATCATCACCATGAACCTCCTGCTCCACAAAGATGATCTTAATTTGACGTGGAACCGGAAGTTGGCGGGTCGCTAGTGCCCTTAATAGTGTAGATTTTCCTACGCCATTACGCCCAATTAGCCCGAGACGGCGCCCAAATGGTATTGAGAGCGTTCCATCAGTAATGATTGGTCGGCCTTTAAGATCGAGATCAAAGCCCTCGAGAAATACATCTCGTAACCGCGTTCCAAAATCTTCATCATCATAAAGAGATACAGGCGCAGAATAAGAGGTCGTCTGGATATCAGCAACGGTTGCCGATGTGGTTGCCTTACGCCGCTCAGCTCGCCTAGCCCTTTGCGAAAGCACGTGGGGAGACTCTATGGTTGAGCATGTGTTTAGAGCAATTGTTCCTCCAATTCTACCATCCTCTTTCAATTGCGAAGCCGGAAAGATATCGGCTATCGTGGGTCCTGGTGTACAGCTTTCGTTAAACTCTACAGGCCGCTCGTCAAAGGGAGCACAGGAAATATTTGGAAATAGAAGCAGAGGCACATCATCGGAATCCCAAGGAAGTATTTCTAATATTTCATCAACGAGTTCCGTAAGCGCTCCACTATGATTTTTATCAAAGTCTTCCCTCAACCAAGGCCATAAAAACGCTTCGAGAGAGGCCTTTAATTGATTTCCGAAGGAAATATTCGGTTCTCTGCTGCACTTTAGCAGCTCATTAGGAAGTGAAAATAAAGAGTCTATCAAATAACGCATAGCAACCCCGTTGGAAATACAATGGCGCCCTATTGCGCTTGATGAAAGCCATTTTTTCATCAATAATTGTAGTCGAGACTCCCTTGACTTGTGCTCTACCGAGGTGTTTCTATTCTCAAAGGGTGATTCTTGCATATGAGAACTTCTTAATTTAGTACATTGAGGGAAATTCGTTCCTGCTCCATCTGCACTGGTGGGCCCCTGTTGAGACTTTTCAGCCGGTCTCATTGCACTTAAAATTTAAAGCTATTTTAAAACCAATTAATTAATGAATTAATTAATTAATTGACAAAGTTTATAATGACAAAAAAATTATTAAAAAAAACATCACAAAGGATGTTCCACATTTAGAATGATTTCTATTTGTCAGCTGTGATTATGAACAAGAGCGCTGACCAATCATTGTCACCATCAAGTCCGATGTCGGGATAGGGTGTGAAAAGGCGCATTTTCACCAAATTACGCACTATGCTACTCACCGCGATAGATTCTCCCACCCTGATTCCAAGCGAGCCTAGGTTCGCCCATGCAAACCCCGATGTGCACATAGCTGAAAAGCCTGTCACTATTGAGGATCTATCCCTACTGTCTCAAGAACTTTCCGAGCTGGATGTCCCCAAAGGTGGGGCTCTCCACAAGGGCGGCCACATATCATCGCTGGACGTCCAACCCCAACCCCAACATCACCCACATCCACACCCACATCAATCCCGCCAGGTACAAGAACACACCTCATACCCTCACCAGCAAGCTCCAGACTTCTCGAATCATCTGTCATCCACGTATCCCACTTACCCCTACAACCAGCATCAGCACATCTCCGTCGTACAGCGCGAACATAGATGGTCCATACCAATGGCATTGCAGTTTAAGCCACCGCCTGAACAGGCGGACACGTTGCGAATGATGCCCAACGGAGAACAGACAGCGAGGTTGCCCTACCCTGGCCACCATATATTTCCGACCAGCAGGGTACATACAGGATCCACAAATCCTACGGCTACCTCTCAGTCCTTTGAGGCTACAAAACCTCAACTTTCTTCCACTCCGACGGAACAGTCTAAGGAGTACTTTTCCGCGATCATGAACAAAGATCATGTGACATATCCAGCGATTTTACCGAAGCAGAATCACGCCTCAGACACCTCATTGGGAGATGCATCACCACCATTACCACTGCCCTCCGTTTCTGAAGTTAGCTCTATCTTCACCTTAGAGCTGATCCACGAAGATCTATGGAACCTTTTTGATCAGAATCACAATGAGATGATCATAACGCGCTTTGGACGCTGTCTCTTCCCATCCCTCAAGTTCAAGCTATCTGTAGGTCCACGCTATCGCCAGAGCATCTCTGGCTCTTCAGTGATACAGCATAACGGCGCGGGCTCTGCAGACGAACCGCTTATCGCCTTTGGACTACAGCTTATCAAGACATCTGCTGAGAAACTCAAATTCCGCCAAGGCTCCTGGATTCCAAACCACAGACATGGCATGAAATTTCAGTATGGCAACCGTTTTTCCTCCGATGCAACTGCCACGAGTAGCCCCACAAAGTCAGGAACATCCACTGCTGCCCCTGCTAACCAGGTAGTATATTGGCATCCCTCTGGCGTTCAATCGCTTTCTTTCTGGGCCAAATACGGACTATCCTTTCTAGATGCCAAACTGGCAAATGGGAAAAAGTCTGCTCCACAACCTGCGGCTTCGGAAAAAGTCTCCGCCATAGATAAGAAAGGACCTAAGATGCCTCTGATTGCCCCTGGAGGTGAGGCCACCCTCATAAACTGCCCCTTGGGTGTGCTTTTCCAGCTGGAGTCCTTTTACGAATACACACCGAAAGTTGTTTGCAAGGTTTATTCGATAGGGGAAAGTGGCTCGCGTGTACGACATGGAGCCTCTCCACTTCCAATACCGGGTTCAAACCCTTCGTACCGCCCTTCCCTGTCTGCAGAGTTTCTCTTCTCAAAATGCTCCTTCATTGCCGTGACACATTACCAAAACGCTGCCATCAATATGCTCAAGAAGCAGTACAATCCGCATGCAAAGGGCTTCATTCCAGACTCATCCACCGTTTCGATGCACCATCTTACTGAAGACGAACAAGAAAGTGAGGACAGAGTAGATGCCGAAGAAAATGTTGAGCAGGATTCAGATGAAGACGAGGTGGATGGAATAACTTCTGGCGCATCTTATGACCTCAAGAAGGGAGCAGGGACATCTTATGGCCTCAAGGAGGCAGGAGGGACATCTTATGGCCTCAAGGAGACAGGAGGGGCATATAAACCGTCAGGGCGTATCTACCCCGCAAAGATACCTTCACCCTCCGGCTTTGAATCCCCTTCTCAAGAGCCGCAATCATTGCATGCCTCGGCATACTATGGTGCAGCCCCTATTCCGGCCGGGTCTACATATCACTTGTCTGATTATCAGCTAAGCAACACCTTTCGCCAACGCCAACATGCATACTCGCTTCCATACAGTGCACCTCAAAATGCTGACAATGTTTCTTTCAACTCGTCAAATAATTTCCCCGGGGACAGAGCTTCCCACCCAACACCAACATCTGGTACACAAGTACGCAGATATCCCCAGCAACTGAGCACGGGAAGATTTTCTGCTTCTATGGATGCATATTTACCTGCAGAGCTTGAAGACACAGGAGCGGCTGTCGCTGCAGCCTTACTTGCTTCCTGGTATACTCAGAAGCAGCAGAATAAATAATATTTAACATATAAATAGCCACTTTATTATGCAATGTAGATGCAGCAAAGAAACCACTGAATGTGATACTGCTCGCTAGTTATCTTGACTAGCAAATGCCCAAGTAGGGTTAGGGTCTTGTTAAATAATTGAATTAGAAATGCTGGGTCCAGGCACTGACTCTTTCCCGCGCATCAGCAACGCGTACACATGCCTTGGCAAGATCGGTGACAGTAAGATAGGCTGATGAGTCTTCAAAGTGTGAGGAGCTGCCTAAAAAAGACGAAATACCTACAAGTGACTCCTCCAAGGCTGTGAGTTCTTTGATAAGTGCTGTCTTAAGTACAAGTGCAAATAGGGGGCCTGGAGCTTCCAATATTTGCTCTTTTAGGATGTCATTCACATATTGGAGAGTTTTTTCTAGAAAAAGATCTGGTCTGGATTTTGCTGTGGAAAATATAGCAGGGATTATCACTTCAATACTTTCAATGGAAGGGGGGAGAGTGGCCGCCACTTCTGGATTTGCCAAAAGCTCCCAAACCATTGTGGGAGTGCCAGTGCAAGAGGCAAGCCGAATTTGCCAATGCAGGGCATCAGTTACATATCCCAGCTCCTTGGCTTCTGAGAGTAACTTTGATATCATCATCTCTGGAGCCTTGGCAGACGATGATGAGTCAATATACAGGGACTTATTATGTGTGGGCTTGCTATTTGCACAGGATCCATTGAGGTGGATAGTCGCAGGTAGATTGTAAGTAACCGGGGAGGATGCAAGGAGAAATAGCAAATGAAACCAGCTAAACGTGGCTTTCTTTTGGCTGAGTAGCTCCATTACTCTAGTCCTATTCTCAACCACTGCTGCAGCCGCCGAAATAATGTGGCTTAATGTAGTAGGGGCAGGGATCACATCTAATGCAAGCTCAAAGGTCTGCGACGCCAAGGCAGCTCTTCGCCAAAAGTCGAAAAGTACTTGATCGTCATATTGAAGCAATAGTTTTGGATTTAGGCGATATATGGAACAGGCGGTCATCTCCGGAGACCGCAATAGAACTGAAGCCTCGAGCAAATCAACAACAAATTTTCGGAACCGGTCACGCTCTTGGGGATCCTCGAGAGCAAGAAGCGATGGCGAAAATGTGGAAATTCGTCGCAAGAGTTGCACTGTAAGCAGAGCGAGAAATTCTCTTTCCTCAGCTTCCTTGCAAGCTTTATGCACACGACCAAGTGAGATCAGTTTTTGCAGCAGCCTTCGAAATTGAAGCATTGGAATTTGGCCCAAAGGAAGGTCACCCCAGACAGACTGCAGAATGCTACATTTTGGAGGGGTTGGCTGGGAAAGCATCCATTGCAGCAAATTTTTATCAACAAGGAAAGGTGGACTCGCAGCCTTTAGAGCTTCGCCATTGGAAGTTTCGGAAACTGATGGCTTAAAATGGCTGATTTCCTCCAGCAAAAGAAACGCAAGAGTGTAAAAGTGGTTGTCGATGGAATGGTCCAATAGGATAGAAACTCTGTCGGGATCATATTTGTAATTCGGATGTGAAAGAATGGCATTTTTGTAAAGCAGCAGAGCGATGCCCATTTTGGATGGGCCTTTCAAACAGCGGATGGCCAAGGTGGCCATATAAATCGATGGACGCGACGCCCCACTATTTCTACAGTACCATCGCAACAGACGGATCGTATGATTCAAAAAGATCTCTCCACATGCGATGTCTTCTTTGGTGTGGGGAAAAAGTAGAATTTGAGAAGAAGACTGCTGCAAGGTTAGATTACTTTTGGTATTTGACATTGAGAAACTAGAACATGGAAACGAACTCCTGTTGTTTTGGGTGTTATTTGCTCGAAAGACAAAGTAATAAAGGAGGCTTTGCGCAGCGTCTCCTGTTGTCAACTTTGCACTTGATAATAACCGAAGCAACGAGTCGGCCTCCTCCATTCTATTTAACACAAGTAGCGATCTGAACAGTGAGGAAGCGAGATATGAAATCATATCCGAATATTTGCTTACAAATTCAACACCAGATGACATCAAAAGCTTTTCAATGAACGAGCCAAGTGGCAAGAGCAGCTCTACGATCGAGCTATGACACGCAAGAAATGATGCCGACCTTTTTGGCAAGAGGAGACTTAGTTTATTTTCCAATTCAACGTTTAATCCAAACATCTTCTCCAAATCTGAGAATGAAGTTTGCTTCCCATACCGATGTGAAGCTTTGTGGGTCGATTTTGGCTCTGCAAGTGACCTTCGAAATTCGGCGGAATGGGTGGAAAAATGCCGATATCCACGCCTGGGGTAGAGTAAAGATAGTGTGCGCGAAACAAAGGCACTCCCTTTTTGAGTGTGGAACATTGGCAGATCCAATCGGCAATTGGGTATCAATTGGGAGACACGAACCAGATCATTCCAACACATCGAGTAAAATACAAGTGGTGGCTTAAATTTTAAGTAAATTTTGGCCTGTTTCCCAAAACGGATGTTGATGGGTTTTGGTTTTAACCATGTTGCCCGCCACTTGCAATAGAAAGACAAGACACCTCTGTGCGATTTTCCTTTCCTGTATTTTGGGCTTTGCTATTGGTTTTTCGCATGCTGACCCTGCTTGGGATGATATCTCTGTCAATACCCAATTTCCGGATGACTTTTTCAAGGCTTCGCCAGTTAAGTTTACCATTATCGTCTTTTGCTGGAAGCGAGCAGAGTCTTTAAACAGACTTCTGGATTCTCTGATAAGATCCGACTATGCCGGCAAAAAGGTTGATTTGCAACTGCGTATTGATGGGAATTCCTCTATCGAGGTTGTTGATATTGTGTCGCAGTTTAAATGGCCCCATGGCTCCAAGAAGGTTGCACTTAAAAAAAGAAATGCTGGACTTGCTAAGGTTGAAATTATTGCTTTCATTCTGTAGTCAATACTGAACGGATGGAACCCAAAATCTGCGTCTTCTTTTGCCATTATGCTCGAAGATGACTGTGAGGTGTCAAGATTTTTCTTCCGATATCTGCTACTCGTTTTGGAAAAATTTGACATCCCAAATAAACTGACCGCTAATCCAGCGGACTTTTTCACATCTGACCTTGAGAACTTGGTAGGGATTTCGTTGTATGCTCCGATTTTGAACGAACTTGTAAGTCCTACTCGGAACTGGAGTAGCGCCTCGATATTCAATAGCTCATATGGATCGCCATCATCGTCTGCCGAATTTTCTTCTACCTTTGGGTTAAGGGTTCGCTCGGCATCTTCATGTTTGAACACATTGTTACCATGCCCTGCTTTATATCGGTTCCAACTTCCCTGTTCGTGGGGTGCATTGTATTTCCCTTGGTGGTGGATTCGTCTTCAAAGATACTATCGCTATAGAACATCTAAAGCAAACATGCATCTCGATGTCTCCTATCTTGTCCCTAACTCTTATTCCAATTTTTGGTCCAAATCTTGGAAAAAGTGGGCATAATTTTCCTTATCAAATAATAGGTTTTTTATAGAATTGTTTTATGCCCATTCATTGTTCATGGTTTATCCTAATACCAAGTATTCGTTCTCGACAAACCACGTTGAGCCCGGAGTTTATGCATCGCATTTCCCCCACCGCTCCTCAAATTCATTCGCCGAAATACACCCATTGAGCAAAGGATATTTGGTTCCTCTTTTTACAGCTAAGGAGACCAATGCGACCGACCTACGAAAATGGATATACAAATGCCATGAAAGTGCGAATTTGAATAATCTCTCTTTTGTTAATCTCTACCATACTCTGGTTCCAAACAAATAAACCAACGTTTAATGACTGAATTCATCAAACTGCAGTTCTAATTAAAAAGTATCCAATTTCTCAATCATGAACGGGAAGGGGATTCAATATGCCCCAGTATGTTAGGAGGGATGCCATAATTGCATGGTGCACTTGAGAATCTTTAATATCAAAATGAACCATCTGATTGAAGAAATTGTAGAAACCACGCTCGGCTTTCGACTGTAAGGTTTCAGGGGTCGCCTTTGATGAACTGGATTTTCAGGCACCAGAAAGTATTTGAAATAAGGGTGTCTTCAAGCATTGAAATAGCATTAGCACTTCAGGATGGGTTAGGGTAATAGATGGAGTTTCATTTCGCCCATAAGCTGATCGTATCTTCCATTGAAGGCACTGATGCCATGCATCCGGCGCAGCATGGGGGCCTTTTAACCTTAACCCTAGAGTTGACATCTTTGTAGCTCTCTGGGGCGCATATAAAAAGAAACCTTGAGGGCTGGTTTTTGTCTCACATTAAAAAAGGCCCGTTGGGATCGATGGCTAAATTCATGGCTGGGGTTCGATATGTTCTTCAATTGAAGGGTTAAAGGCTAACATTTAACGACATGGTATTTTAAATTTTAAATTTGGGGTGGAATTAGGGTTTGGACGGATGCCAAAGTTAAATTGAATTTTTTATTAATACATGCGATCTTCGCTCCATCCCGTTAGACTGCTTTATACATCGTTGTCCTCCTATTTGGACCGGTCTAGCATGGAATACATGCTTGGGCTACAGAAAATGGCACCGCCAATACCATATTTGCTTGTCATGTATCCAGATCTCGGCTATAGCGATCAAAGCATTTCTGATAGATATGATAAAGCAGACTTCAGTTTAGATCTTTCAGATCTACGCCGCAGGTATCTGATTTTGCAGCAAATGTTTCATCCAGATATCGTTTCTTCAAAAGATACCTTGTCAGAGCCGGGTGCTGGCTGCTCTTTGAAGAGTGTAGAAGGTTCGGAATCACCTTTGAATACTTCTAAGACCTTGATACGTTTGAAAAACCAGTCTCATATTATTGGAGAGGCCTATTTCAACCTTAGAGATCCTGTAAAAAGGGCCGAGCATTGGCTTTGTATGCACCAGACCTATTCGAAACACGAGGGTTGCCAATCTTGCAGTTTGTCGTGCGAAAAAATGTCGTATATCCGCCCCGAGTTCCTGGAGGAATTAATGGCGCTGCATGAGGACATCGATGAAGGGAAGCATGATGCATATTCTGATATTGTATCAAGAAAAAAAGAAATCATAGAGACCTTGCCAGGAATCGTAGAGGCGCGCAAATGGGAGCGCCTCGCAGCCATCCTTTCAAAATATCGATATTTGAATGCATTGAGCAGTAGAATGTAGCCTCGAGGCTATTGTTTCATGCTGTGTTGTATGGCATTGTATTGGATTGCATTGGATTGCATTGGATTGCATTGTATTGGATTGCATTTCATTGTATTGGATTGTATTTTATTGTACGTAATTACCCGACTCTATTTAATAAACCGTATGTAACCCTATGCGCTTTGTTCTATTTATAGCGTTCAAGCCATACGCTCACAATTGGTTTTTCAATTTATAATTTTCGGAGTTTGCAATTTAGCTCCATATTTTGGCCATAAACGCTATTTAGCCATCATCAAACTCTTAGGGTATACTTCTAGGACTATCCGTAAGCTTGTGGCCTTTTAATTAATGCATCAGAAACCCAATTTCGCATTAAATAGCTCAAATTTTATTGGTGGCATTGATAGCCCAGCCAATCAAGCGCATGATGCACGCATTCCCGAGGCTTTTCCATCTGAGGTACCAGCGACTTCCATTTATCAGCGAAATTTTCAACGCTTGGAGCCAACTAGCATTTTGACCAGCATCGTCAGAACATTGTAAGCATCACATTTATATTGGTGATAGGAAGCTGGTCTTTCCCCTTTATTTTCTGTTTAGTCCCAGATTTGGAAAATGGTCGTCGTTTGCAAGAAACCTTGTCATCTTAATGAGCGTTTTTCAGCACTGGATATTTTATGCAGTTCTTCCAAACGACCCGACATTTGCATGTTATGGCCCGTCTTTTGGGGCTGCCATTCGCTCGACGTTATGCATCGAATGCGGATTCTGGACAGCCTCGCTTTTGTTTTATCAGATGAAATATGGCACTATTGTAAGATGGCTAAGATCTGCATGCTCGCATATTCTGTCCTCTTACTTGATGTTTGACAATCTTTTGATGAGTTGCATTTCGGAACGGCTAAAAGTTTGGTGTCTCAGCCCTGGACAGCTTCGGGCTTCTTGGGAAAAAACATCGACAGACCCGATTGTCTTGTTCTGCCACAAATTTATTAATGGAATTACTTGTATCAAAGGAATCACTACATCGCGTGTCCATGTTAAAGAGATCAAAATCATGAATCGAACCCTGTTGCTGTTTTACAGAACCAATGTGCGTTATGAGAAGAAAAACATCATCTTTTGGATTCCCGGAGGAGGCTTCCACGCATTGGGGCCGAGCGATTTCCTCGGTGTTGGTTCATACCTGTCAAAATGCGCGCCTGTACTTATATTTGATTATCCGAAATCACCAGAAAACCCGTACCCGGAAGCGTTGCTTTGGATATACAATGCGATCCCTTTAATCCTTGATCATTTTACGCAGCATCAAGACAAAATTTTTTTCAAAGGCGAGGAATTCTCCAGCAAACAAGAAATGCACCAGAAACCACACGGGGCAACAGAAGATGCTAACGCCTCCGTATCGTCCCCTTGGAGGGGCGTCATTGCTGGAGATTCGGCCGGCGGAAACTTGGCGACAATTTTGGCCACAAAGATGACACATGAGCCAATCCCAGGTCTACATGTCGCTGGTCTTGCCTTGATATATCCACTCCTCTCTTTTGAAATTAGCGGATGGCTTCCGCAGGAAGACCAGGAGATGAGGGCCAAAGTGGCCCCTCATCTTGTCGGCGAATTTGCTTCTGGGGGACCCTTCGGTTCCAGATTTGCAATCCCCTCCCGGCTCCTGAATTTGAATGACAAGATCATTCGGACAGACATCTTGTGTTACTTGGCTCAAAGCTATTTGAGCACACCGAAGGAATCCATTATTGACACCAACAAGTTTATCGTTGGTAAGGATCCTTCTTTTGAAAAGGAAATCGATCCAAGCGATCCATCTTTGACACCGCTTAGACTGCCATCGCACATGGTGCAGGCAATCCCGAGGGTATTTATCCAAGTAGGTGAGATGGATCCCTTTTTGGACGATTCGCTAATACTTTTCCACAAGGCGATCGGCTCAGCGCCATTCACCACGAAAATAAGGACAGACTCCGATGTCACCTTCAACAGGATACAAGGACCATCCGAAAGGGTTTCCCTTTCGCTGGTGGAAGGAGTATCCCATGGCTATTTGCTGATGCAGCTGCTGTGGAGGGGATTTGAGCCATGCATGCAGGAAATTGAGACCGCAATAGCGGCGATGTTTGAGCAAGATTTGTGTGAAGAAACTCCCGCCAATATGCGCAATAGTGGACCCGAAATTTTGCCCAAAATCATGGTCCCGGCATACTCTAACTTGGAAAGCGAACTTTTACGCAAAGAGCCCAATTAATTATCTTCAAATGGAACCCGATGTCATTGGCATGTACACACGGTGCGCAATTTGAATTTTCAATAAAAATTCGCTTTAAATTTTAAGATATTCCTTGGTGTGTTGTTTACAAAATTTCGTTCTGAAATCACAAACAATTCAGCACAATCACATTGAACTACCAAACGGATGAGGCGTTTTGGTTTTCCTATAACCACCCCAGCTGATTATGAACATCTCACCGAGGAGATCAGGGCGAGATATGCCGGTTGACCCTTGTGAAAGCGCCTTTACATCGTCGTCATCGTCGCTGTCATCCCCATCACTACCTGCATTATCCGCACTATCTTCGGCTTCATCAGCTTTATACGAGTTTCCTCTGTCATCCCAATCTTCGAATCACTCTGGATCTAGGCTCAGCCCAAACTATTCCCGCTACATGCAGCAGCAGCGTGAATGGAAGGTCAGACATCCCCATGATGTTGCATCATCGTCGTCCTCGTCACTGTCGTCGTTGTCGTCAAATTTTTTCGTCTCAGATGAGCCTATTTATGAAAAAAGCTGGGCCAAAACACCCCATTCCACGTCAAGCCCGCAACTAGACGAAATGCAAAAATCACAGGATTTACTGAGCTTCTCAGAAGCCGGTCGAGGCTCTTGGAGTGCCGAGGTTCGTCCGCCTTTTAATACTTAGGAAGATGCACTGCTCATTTCACTAGTTTCCAAATATGGTGCTCATAGATGGACACTGATTTCTCAGGGCTTTGAAGGGCGGCGACTGGGGAAGCAATGTAGGGAGCGCTGGCATAACCATTTGAATCCGCTAATCAGAAAAGAGCCATTTACCATGCTGGAAGACCTGGCAATCATAGCCATGTACGATGTCTTTGGATCTCGCTGGGCATTGATGAAGCGATTTCTTCACGGAAGAACAGATAATTCGATCAAAAACCATTGGCATAGTTCAATGGTCAAGAAGATGGCCTATTATCGAGAATCCCTTCTTTCCATCCTCTCTCTGATATATCTACGCCACAAGTCAGAACGGAACAGCCAGGTGTTGAACGCCTTGCTGAAATCGAACCACCTTAGGAAGCCAATTATAGCTGCCAAGCTGCCTCCTGAGTGGGAGCTACTTCCGATGCAATTGAGCAGCCATCTAGCTTTGATCCAAGACGCGCTTAATGGGCGGTTGTTTGGCGATGATCAGCAACCCAGCTCCACGCACGCATCGCATGTCCCTTCTTCGATGGCTGATCTTTTGGACGCCGTAGAGGCGGTTGAAAACTATGCGCCAAAAAACTTTTAATACCCGTTGGTTAATTGACAATTTTGACGTTATTGCAATTTTCGACACCTAAATGATAGCTAAACTCGGACAATTGGATAATTAAATTCTGGAAAATGTCTTTACAGTCCGCAATACCACTCGCCATGCATTTATTGGATGTCCATGGATGTCTCGGCACCGGTGTATCGAGAAAAAAGAGCAGCAGTCTCTGCATCGTTCAAAATGCGGAAGGGCTGTTCGACCCCAACAATAGCAAGCGACACAAGTGGCATGGTTAGGGGGCTTTCTGCCGGCATTGAAGCGGCAAGCGCTCTAATCGCATGTAGCGCAAGGTCTTCCATTGTTTCCGTGGCAAGAATTTCCTGAAGATGGCTTTCCAGGTAAGTTCGGGCAGGCTGTGATCTCGCTCCAATCGCGACGGCATGATATGGATCGGCGTCACCAGCTGGCGTCAGCTCCCACAAAGACACGCCGGATCTCTGCGATAATTAAACCTGAAATGGGGTCCTTACATCGGCTCCAGCAATTAGGAGCCCCACGCCGTTCGGCCTGCCGCCGTAAAATTGTGTCGATTTTTGTGACTCTAAAAATAAAGCATCAAATGTCCCTACTATCGGCCAAAAGTGAACACAACTTTGCCACCGAGATAGATCTATCGTACGCATCGCGCTCCTTGGTCGCCTCTGCACGTAGAAACGAGCTTTGATGATTATGACTTGTATAGTGCGACTTACCATATGATTCGAGCGTCAGAATTGAGACCAGAAATGCCCATACCGCAATGCTCATCAATAGCATACATCTTTTTCTGGAACCCCGCGAGCGGGCCAGGAGAGCGCTACGACCATCAATATGGGAGGTTACCTTTAATGCAGCAAGAAGGACATAGCGCTTATTGGATAGGCCTAAAGAGATCGAGCCCTGTTTAACCGCCTCTCCAGCATACTCCACTTGCAAAAGGCGGCCTTGTGGTGACCACACGGTAACATCGGTATCGTATTGCCCTCTGTACATGTTGACAAATTTGTAAATTTACACCTAAATGATTAGGGCAGGGTCCCATAATTCAAATTTTTGCGGATCAATTTATAAACTGCCTTTTTTTTTGTCAAGTACTTACCTGGTGGGAAAGCTGGCGTGATCAAGAAGGCGCCGCTTTCATCTGTCATTATGTCCATTGCACAATCGGATTCATATGGCGGGTGTGAACGTCTTATGGCGTCTCAACCATACAATTTTTGATTGCTGGCTGCGTTTGCAGTCTTCATATTAATTAATTTTCCGTAAGATAGCTGTTTAATGCGTCGCTAAAGTGTCCATCATAATTTAAGGGGCGTTATGGCGACGCTGTTTGTGCTTTCCGAGGGCGTTTGTTCCGATCTGGCCGTATTGTTTAGGTGTCAGATTAAACGGTCCGACTATATGCCTCTGGTGAGCGTTTGTCGGTTTGGAATCAGAGTGAATTAAATTGAAATTTGCAGGCAAATGAATTAGATGCTTATGTGAATAGTTTAAATCTATTTTTTGCAGCCATCAAGCTAGCTGAAGCCTCGATCGAAGCTTGAACGCTTCAAGTGGTCCATTCCTCATGACCCTGCTATCTGTAAGATAAATAAGGCTTAGGGTCAAAGGAATCGATATTCAGACAGATATTTAAAATGGCTGCAGGCCATCGCGTAAAATAGGATATTACATGACATGCATTAGCCAACTGTACCATTAATTCATACATGCCGTGGTGCTGGTGCTTATCAATTACTTTGCATTTCCATGCTGAAAAATTTGGTTGCAAAACATCGCCACACAAAGTTTCCCATAAACCCGACATGTTATGGCAAAAATACCCCGATAAACAATCCAGTTTATAGACCTTTTTGCGCGGTGGTAACATTTTGCGGCACTTTTTAATTTCGTCAATTTCTTGACTATCCTCAGCTTCTTGCATGTGGTCAACAATTTTGGGTTTCCATGCAATCCTATGCCTGATTCCACCTATGTTTAGCCGTTTGAGGCGGCCGAACGCCTCTCTAGTGGCGTCATTTCTATGACCATCTTCTTTTTCCTCTTCCTCACAATTTGAGGAAAAAGCTTCAAGAGATATGGGGAATAGAAATTTTCACACATTCATTGGGGTGGATATCTTTTGCAAACAAGCGGTTCAAGTCGACTACAGGGCCTGCTTTGCCGAAATTGAATCCCAAATAAGGGATCGACGCAATCCATTCAATGGATTCAGGCGTGACTTACATGCCAGTTTTACAGTTACCGCTAAAATGGGGTCTTGGACAGATATTGAACTTTGGTCGGTGAAACTGGGTTGTCTTCGAGTGTAGACAAATTCCAAAAAACTGTGCACTATGTCTGCCCATACGAAATCACAATTGACACAATAAAAATAACCTCTGGATTGTACAGTTTATTGAGAGGGCTTGGTGGTATCTTTTGCTTCGGAATACTTGGTGGTATCTTTTGCTTCGGAAAGCTTGGCTTTCAAGGCGTCGATTTTAGCGCGAAGCTGGGATCTTTCCTCCTCTTTATCTTTGTTTGCAGATCGGCTTGCTTCCACAATTTTTTGCTTCATTTCGGTAATGCGCTCAATGGCCTTCTTGGCATCATCGGAGGAATGGACAGCCCCAATGGCATAGACCTCCAAATCAAGCGAGACCCAATGTGGAAGCGAAATGGAGGATGTTTTCGCCGTTTTTGTGGCCGCATGTGCGGTACTGCTTGTCGCACGCAAAGATGCTGGCTTGGGATTGGCTTTTTTTCCAACAAAATAAGACTCTTCTGTCTTTTCCAAAACAACAAACTTCTTTTCATCGATGCCTTCCACGGGGCGTGGAGCAGGAGTGGAGCCAGACGGCATCTTTTTCTCTGCCTCCTTTGAGGGTGCTATAAATGCAGACAGAACATTTTCCAGAGCCTCTAAGCTCTCAACTTCTTTCGGGATCTTGTCAACGGAAAGCGAATGGAGTTCGATTTCAAGATCGTTTATTTCGTTCTCGATTTCTCTTCTCACAAGAAGTGCCTGGTATTTTTCCTGGCGCTCGGAAGCCCATTCCTTATGGGCCTCCTTTGCCAAAGAAAAGGCTTCATATGCACTGGATCTTTCCTTGAACTTTTTGTCGATTTGGGAACGAATCTCCTCAAGATTTTTACGCATAGATTGAATGGCGTTGGTGGAGCTGCTATTCCGGGTTAGAAGTTGCGTGTATTTTTCGTTTTCTTCTTTGATGTGCGCCTTCAACGCTTTCAATTCAGGATCTAGCTTCTTCATTGAAGAGCGGATCGATTCAACTTGCGCATCAATTTGATCTTTTCCAGCGACGAGCGAAGAGATTGCATCAAAAGAGCGTCGCGCTTTGTGCAGCTTGGAGATTTCTGCGACAAGTTTTTTTTCTTCAGAAAGAGACACGCCAGACTCGATGCTTCGATTGAGATCGGCTATCTTTTGATCGATGTCTTCGCGTCTTTTGCAGGGGAGTTTTTCGCGAGCAACATCCAACTCTGCACCGCGAGAGCGGGCGATTTCCAAGGCTTCATCCAAACGCTTGGAAAGCACATTGCGCTCTTCCATCAGCTGATCCTTCTGCTTTCTCATCTTCTGAAGAGCTGTAAAGATAGCTTCTCTTTCGGCTTTTCCTTCTTCACCGGATACGAGGAGCTTGATTTTTTCAGAAAGCTCCACAGATTTTGCCTTAAGGGAATCAATTTCCTTCGACAGTGTGTCCATTGTCTGCTCATAGACCTTCCGCTTGTTCTCATAAACAGAGTCCTTTGTGGGAACGCGAGCACTTCCAGCGCCATTGGATTGTCTTTGTCGTGTTGAAGAAGACGAGGGAGCTGAGGGATTTCCGGCTTTGCCAGCTGGGATGGCTGAGGTGATCGATGGAGGTGCTACAACTTTGCCTGAAGACATTAGATATCAGATGTGAAAAATGCAATGCAAAATGTAACAATTTTTAAAATTAAACTTTTTAAATTTAAGCATTTTGGAACAGAAGCCATCATGCCAAATGTACAAATTACAATTTCTACGTTGGTGTACGCTCCCGTGCTAATGATTTTGCAGGTGTTAAATTTAATTATGACGACGACAATGACGACAAGGAAGATCCCGATCAAGGGATATCAACAAATTATGGAGACCGCTCAGGTAAAAATGGCGACCGCTAACCAATCCAACCAAGATAGTCCTCCTTGATGGTACCAATGGCAAACTACAGCATGTCATCAACGATATTGTACTATTTCGGTGGCATCCAGCTTCAGGCCGACGATTTTGAGGCGGATCAGGTCTTCTGGTGAAATTCGCTGGCTTTGGTCTTCCGAGATAAAACAAGCTGGAAGCGAATTGGCGTCAAACGATAAATCTGGCGGGATTAGCTATTGAAATGCTGAGACCGATCATCAACTTACATGTGCAGAGACAAAGATTTGCAGCGGGCCTGTCTCTGCAAAAAATCCCATCTAAGCACAGTTAAATAGGGTCAAAAAGAGCCGCAATGTAGGAAATCACAAAGTGCACAGCAATGGGGTACCTTTGTCACGGAGGCAACAATGGCATCCACTACCTCACCCTTGAATGGTTTAAGTACAATCGCCCTGTAGGAAATATCAAAATCGGCATGTCCAAAGGTGGGTACCAACACGCCTCTGCTTATCGATGTGATGGACAGCACAGCAACGATGTATCCTAATGGTGAGGGGCTTGGAAGATGGTATGGATTGATGACACAGTTTGGATGCTAATGATACTCACCTAGCCTTCCGTGACACGTGCCCTCCACCTCGGTACGCAGGCGGCGCTGTACTTCTTCCATCAAACCAGGCCCAAAGAACTCGGGCGATATGCTTACCCGATGGGTAAGTTCCATCTGTTGCATTAGGCGATGGAGGGAAGAACCTGGAAGAACATAAACTAATTTTTAAAAACTTTCGTTCAAAATATTTACATTTACAAATAATAGCTCCCAAGGGTTGCGCTTACTTATGAAAATCCTGATCGGTACGTTTCTGCTTCAGCTCATCTTTGCCATTGTGATGTGTCCGCAAAAAAGCAGGGCCAATTCTGAATCTTCTTTTGGAATTCATAACGCGGACGATTCTGCCTCTGAGGATGAAAAGTTTTGGAATCTTGATCTGAATTCTGACGGCATCATTGATGCCATGGAAATGCTGACTATCATCTCTTGGAACCAACCACTTGAGTCCGATGCCAAAAAGATAAGTAAGATGGAGGACATTCTTAGACGAGCCGACCGTAACAAAGATAATGCCATCTCTTTCCTTGAATTCGAGGAAGCCCCTTCACAAGTGCGAGAAGAGATTCTCGCTTTCGGTCGAACTCTACATTGAAATACAGCCAATAAATGCACAAATTAGTAAGATTTACTAGGCTTCTTATCACTGCGTACACTTTTTTTTGGTGCATGCAGGCATCGCAACGTAAAAGCCCTGAAAACCGGTACAAGCTCGGTGACTTTGATTCAAAGGGACATTTTCTTTGATGGTTGAAATCTCACAAATGAGCAAATAATTCAAGGTGCTTTCAAGGTGCTTTCAAGGTGTCTATTCAAGGTATTTATTCAAGATTGCCTGGAGCTGAGCTTTCAAAGAGTCCTGCAGAAACAACTCGCTTCATCATTTCGCTGCCTGCAATGGCCTCTACTAACGCCAGGGCAAATGGAATCGCTGTGCCCGGTCCGCGGCTAAGTAATTTAAAAAAAGGCATACCTTGTAATCAATTGGGAGCGCGATCCCGAGCGAACGACCGGAACGTCGTCTCTCCAGGTGTAGACCCCAGAAAGATCGTCCTTGAATGAAGGATATGCGGTGAGCTGAATATCCTTTCCAACTATTCCAGCCTCCTTCAAAGCCATTGGGGCGGCACATATTGCCCCAAGGATGCTTTCTTTCGAATCATAAACCTTCTTGATGAGCTCAAGGGCCAACGCAGAACTGCAAATCTCTTGTACTCCCCCCATTCCCCCGGGAAGCACAACGGCAATCTTTTCAGTTTCAAGGATAATGGTTTCCCCAAATGCCATGCTCTTTTTCAAGACAAAGTGCCCATCCACCATTTCAAGAGTTGCATCTGGAACCAAGTGGAGCTTATTGGAACCCACAACATGGCTAAGAAGTCGACCAGTCTCCGCATTGAGGGTACGATTCGGACTATTAATAATGGTGACAACCGTGGTAGAAATGTTTGCCCGTCGTAGGATGTCTATCACAGTGACCGCCTCAAGCTCTTCAAACCCGTCCATAACAAGCACCAGTGCTATCATTATCACGAAATGTAAAATTAGCCAAGCTGCTCCTGCAAATTAAAATGTAAACGCTTGATGGACTTGGGGTTTGTACACACCAATTTCAGCGTCCTAAATTTATTGCAACGGTTGGCTAAATTGCAGTTGTGGATGCAGCCCACGATTAGCACCGCTGATCCGAAAGCGAGAGTCTAGGGACAATATTCATACACTGCAATTCTTGAAATAATAGCTTGCACGCATATGGGATAGTGGTTGTGGTTACCTTTAACGAGGACTTGCAGAGGTTGCACCACCCTGAGTATCCCAGGAGCCCGCAGCCTTCGCATACATCTACATTGAAGGAGTCCGAGGAAAGCATTAATCGTTCCATGAGAAGCGCTGAAGCTCCATATCCGATCAGACAATCTCGCTCCATCTCGCCGAGCCTGAGACCGCCATCTCGCGCGCGACCCTCCGTAGGCTGTCTTGTGAGAACCGCCCGAGGCCCCCTTGCACGTGCATGCATTTTATCGAGCACCATGTGCTTGAGCTTTTGATAATAAATTGGCCCAAAGAAAATATAAACGCCAAGAAGCTCACCAGTGGTTCCCGAACAGAGGGTATCCTTGCCTCCATAGGAGTAGCCCTTTTGTAAAAGCATCTGTCCAACCGTTTGCGCCTTCTCAGCACAAGCCTCCTCATAGCTAGTAGTGGTGGCAGAGGAAAGAATGTCGCTATGGTCGCCCTCAAAGGCGCCTGGCGGCTCAAATGGCGTTCCATATGCGAGACGGCCAGCCATCACCCCCGCCTTGCCGTGCAATAGCTCGAGCATCTTACCCACGGTCATGCGAGATGGAAACCCATGTGGATTCATAATAATATCTGGTGACACACCTAACCCGTTATGCGATAAAAGTACCTGCTGAGGGTCCGTCCATACCGAACGGCATGTCGGCCTGTGGAACGATCAACCCACAAACACCCTTTTGCCCATGGCGCGAGGAAAACTTGTCCCCAATCTCTGGGCGTCGTGTTGAACGCAACAGTACTTTGACCGTAAGCTGGTCATCGCTGTTGGTAGTCAAAAGGACGCGGTCAACCAGCACACTAGTGGGAGACTTGTGTGTCAACGCTACGGTTTTGTATTCGCCACCTGCAGTGGTGGTGTTTTTCGATGCGTCCTCCCCAGCAGCGATCCCGCCGCCAATAGGAATTTGCTTATTAATGATCACATGCCCAGGTAGAAGACGCTCCCCTGGTGAGGCAATACCGTCCCCGCTCAATGCCTCATATTTGGAGTAGCTGGATGGCGGTGGAGCCACTATGCGGTCATACGAGCCATTGGCATACTTTTTTAGGGTGACCATGCCCTTTTTCATGACCATACACCGCCCAAATCCACGGTCTAGTGACGCTTTGTTGATTATTAGTGCATCTTCAATATCAAAGCCAGACCACGACATCACGGCCACAGAAGCATTCTGCCCTGCTGGCAGTCGCTCATAGTTTGTCAACTCGATGGTCCTTGTTTTGACCATTGGGCGTTGGGGGTAGCAGAGGGTGTATAAAAGCGTATCAATCCGCTCCAGCTGGTTGTATCCAATGGTGCCCATGGCTTGTTTACCCATTGCAGATTGATAGGTATTTCTAGGGCTCTGATTGTGATCTGGGAATGGGATCAGGCCCGCTACAGCACCCAGAATGCACCAAGGAGCAATCTCCATATGTGTGAAAGACGCATATTTTTTGGTATCAGCAGACCCATAGTGAGCATTGGCAAAAAAGTGTTGCTCGTGTTCCCTTTTCTCTAGCTTTACTTGAACAAGGTCATCCAAACCCAAAGCAATATACGAGTCGTTTTCCTCATTGACATCCAAATACTCCACAAGCCCTTTGGCAGCCATTAATTCGTCCCAAGTGCCGATAGACTTGAGGTGGTCCATAGTAAGTACCGGAGAACTTCCGTCCTCATTAAGAATCAGCAATGGTCTAAGCGGGCGACCTCCATCCGAGGCAATTTGGATCGTAGACGATGTAGAAGAAGCCGAAATGCTCACATATGGCTCAATCAGACCTGAGCGGCGAAGCTTGCGAAGCGCACTCACCACCTGGGTAGAAAAGCGAGTGATTCCGATGGGAATGCCGTTAAAAAAGACGATGCTCGTGCCTGGGGTATGAATCTCGGCTCCAGAAAATCCTTCAATTGGCTCGACCATCCCAAGCCCTTCAAGGATAAGGGTACGTAGCGGTCCTTCTGCGCTATCGACCGAAATAAGCGTCAACAATGCAAGATTTTTTACGAGCCCACAGGCTTCTCCCTCGGGGGTATCGGAGGGGCAGGTTATACCCCATTGCGATGTTTGCAGCGAGCGAGGTCCAGAAACCTTTCGTGTCTTTTCAAATTGAGATGAAATTCGCGTCATCATTCCCAGTCCGGAAATGTATGAAAGCCGCGACAGTACTTGGGTAACACCTGCGCGCTCCATGCGGAAACGACGTAAAAACCAATTTCCTGTGGAAAGCGCGCGGATCATTCCGCTGGTAATAAGATCTCCCTGTAGCTGCAATAGGCGCAGAACGTCGAACTCCTGAGCTCGGTTCGGTTTTGAAAGCACCTTATCGATGGAGCGTTTTAGGTCGCTGTTGAAGCGCTTGAAAAGATCCTCAAATAGAAGGCCAAGGAGCTCTCCAGAAAGCTCTAATCGTTTGTTACCAACATAGTCCCGGTCATCTGGAATGGCATCACCTCGAAGCGCCTGGATTACTTTTCGCGCCATGAGCGCAAGAAAAAGCGCCTTCAGACGCAAAAGGGTGCCCTCCACCGGGACATGAGAAAGTAAAAGGTCCGTAAGGAAATCGCGGGCATCTTCCAAACGGCGATCCACCGCAGATGAAGAAAGAGCCGACACATTAGAGGGCGCTCCCCCAATAAGCGAGCTTGTCATTTTCCGCGAAATTCGCACATGTGTAGCCAAATAAGAAAGCGCCTGAGCAGTGGTGAAGATATTTAGAGAAACTGCTTCTTCCGCTGAGGGACCCAAGGCTTCCACATAGCGCGGATCGTTTCCACAGACCAGCTGCACAATCTCGCGGTCTGCCTGCACACCAAGCGCCTACTTGTGGCATAAATCAATGTTCAAGTAAAAAATCAAAAAATCGTATAACGAAAGCATGGGCAACCAAAGTCGCACTCACCTTGAACATGACAAAAAGGGGAAAGTCGTCGGTAAGGTTGTTGTGCCGCACGTAGAGCTTGTCATTTTTGACAGCCACATAAGTCTTGCTTTTGCGTTCATGGGTTGAGCTAAAAACGGCCAAATTAAAAGGGAAAATATGTTACCTGGTCACAGAGGCATATAGCAACCCTTTGCGATCGACGTCCAGTAGAATCCTATTCTTGGAAAGCTGCTCTTGAATGAGGATGACCTTTTCTGTCCCTTTAATGATAAAATATCCGCCTGGATCAAGGGGACACTCTGTGACATTTGCAAATGCCTTTTCATCGTTACCCAATGCTTTGAGGTGGCAGCGTGATGAACGCAACATGATTGGAAGCCTTCCAATTTGCACATTCTTGCGAGTTACGATCTGCTTGCCTCGAGTATATTCGATGTCAACCACAATTGGGGCAGAATATGTCAAGTCCCTGAGACGACACTCATGTGGCGTTATGGAATGCACAATCAAGTCTTCCTGGATTGACGGCATCTCGACGCCGATATTTGTGTATCTACGATATTAAATCAAAGAACGGCGAGAAATGGGAAAAATACAAAAGCATCATAATGGACGAGAAAAACATTTCAACTCCATAAGATACAGGAAACTTGGCCATGTAAACAAATCAACCGAACACAAATGGGGGGTACCTCAGAAAAAAGGAAGGATCCACATCCGAATCGACCTTGGCATCAGTCTGGACGATTTTCATCATATCTGTGGAGATGAAGTAATCGAAAGAATCCAGATGCTGCTTTATAAGGCCTCTGTTCTGCAAATAGAGCGGTACAAGCCGCCACTTTTCAGCCAGGATGTTGTCACCCATACCGGATGGCGTAATTTTAAAATGTTCAATTTAATTACTACCTCAATACAAATGTCTACCAATCGACGACTCTTTCATTAATTAATTATTGGCAATAAATTGAGCGATTGACGGATGAATGTTTACAAAAATTACAAGATGAATTTACAGCTGCAAGCCAGCAGCTGTGATGCGCTCGACCTTGGCAATGATGTGTTTACCGTACGTGTACTTTTTCAATGTAGGCAGATGAGGCTTGATCCTCAATACAAGTTGTTCGCGCTGGTCTGGGTCTGCAACATCCAGCGTGCGTTGAATCACATAATTCGCAAACGGATCCTTCATCATCATGGACAGGAGTGCAGGACCAGCATGGAGAATCTCCTCCACCATCAGCCTGCGATCGGCAGGCTGAGAGTGTGCCATGGACTTTTCCACCACATTTGAAGCAAACTTGTGGCGAGAAAGATCCAGCAGCTTGCCTCGCACACAACCGATGATTGCGGTTCTATCAGAGGGCCGCCCTCGCTCGATTACATGCTGGATGACATAATTTCCATATTGGTCAAGGACAAGCTCATCTACATGTTCATGAAGCTCTTGAAGAAGAGGTCCGGACTGTGAAGATTCGCAATGCTCAAAAATGCGCTGTAGAACCCTGCACCCGTATGGATGCATGGCCAGCACCTCCACTTGTCCTCTGAAAGAGTCCACTACGAATTGCACTCTAGCAGCGGGAACCCTCTCAATGACCTTCTGGATGACGTGATTTCCATTTTGGTCTTTTACGCACCTGATCACGTGTCCGGTGAGCTCGACTATCAGCAAAGACTGGACATCAGCAGGAAGGTTTTCAAGTGCTTTTTGGACAACCCTGCAGCCGTACATCTGAAGAGACAGACTGACCACATGGTCTTGCATGGCAATCGCCAAGGCTCGGCGCTGCCCATCGCTGCCCAATTCAAAGAACTTTTGGATCACATAGTTGCCAAAGACATCTGTCATCAGTGAAACCGCATGAGGCAATAGCTCTTGAAAGATCAGTTCTTTTTCTTCAACCGTGCAAGTTTCCAACTTTTGTTGGATAAATCGAGAGCCGAACTGATCGCCTGAAAATTCGACGACACAAGAAAGAATCTCCTTTACAAGAAAGCGTCTGGTGCCCTTGCTTGCTCGAAATTCTTCCAGAAGAGTAGACGTGGCGGCCGAGGTATCCGGTACAGAGGCCAAAGTAGCAGATGGAGCCATAGAAAGTGCAAAATCCTCTTCTTTTTTCAGTGTGCCTCCAACAAACTGATGGTAGTATGGCTGGCGAATGGGAGTTTTCAAAAGCGAGTGGTTATTGAGTCTATGTTCGTTCGCAGACATCAGCATATTGCCATTGCAACCATCATCAAAATTGGAATAATGGGTTTGAGATTGCTGATGATGGCTATTAAAGTTCGGGCGTCGGAAGCTATTGAAAAGGTTACTAGTTGAATCGGAAAAATATGAAAGGTTCTCCTCCGCACCATTAAAGTCTGCCGAACAATCAAGGGAAAGATGGCGAAGCGTAGCTTGAATTTGTTCGGCTTCATCGTCGACCAAAGAAGTAGAGGCATCGACGAGAGAATCGGGCGGAGCCCCATTAGATATCGACTTGGGCGTACCAGTTAGCGGCGTGGCAGGCTCCCCTGTAGGCAAGGCGGGGGAAGGATTGGCCCTCTTCTCGGTGGAAGGAAATGATGCCTTAGAAAAGCTGTTTTTACGGTCTGTGGAATGATAAGGCCAAACGGATGAGTGTCCGGTACCTCCATTACCCCACTGCAGATGGTGCCAAGATTGGCCAGGAGTATACGCAGGAGGCGGGAGTCGAGGGTTCAACCTTGATTGCGAATAGTAATACGCAGCATAGTTGGGATGGCTAGTTAGTTCTTGTTGACTTTTACTTGGATTGTGGCAGTTGGGCGTTTGGTGCTGAATGTTTGGAAAATATCCTCCTGCATTGGAAGGCCCCACGGTGGGACCCCCGACCACTGATGTCTTTGACTTTTCGCCTCCCAGAGAGGAATTTTTCTCCAATCGGATATTTCCCTCCAAAGAGGATGGTGGTGGTGGCGGCGGTGGAGGATGGTGAAGTATCTCGGCTGGCGGTGCGCTGGTCGACCTACTCATGTCGTCAGGAAAGACCAGAAGAGAAGATGTCGACCCTAGTCCACCGATCACGCTATTCCAGGTAATTTTTGTTGAATAGTGAGGTGTGGATTGATCCAGACAAATACTTGGATTTTCTTTTTCTTGCAATAGGGATGCCAGCTGGCCAATAGGAATTTGTCGCTGGGGCACGCATGTTTTTAAGCCGATTCGCATGTCTGCGTCATGCGCTGATGTGGAATTTTCGTCCTTTCTCGAGGAGAATGAAGATGCTGAAACATTCCGCTCTAATGACATGGAAAACTGGTTGGACAGCTTGGGGTTCAGTGATGGTGACGCATCTGTAATAATGGTGTTATTTTCGGGCATCTTCAATGTACAACAAAAATAAATATCTATACAGTACTATTTACACTACTTCAAATGACCTTGGTTTTCAGAAGCGAAACTTGCTGATGCTAAAACTTTAATGATGGATGAATATGGCACTCAAGAAGAAAACAATGCAATAGCAGAGGACAGAATGTAACAAATTAAGAAAAAGGAAACTTTTAATTTTAATTCTAACCCTAGAATTAGTGCGGTTTTTCATTGGTGGCATTTACTGTTAGAAAGAACCAGTGAAAATGGAGCGGGGGCGTGGTCCTTAACACATGCATACACGGCCCGATGCCGCGATATTAATCATGCGAGCTTCGCCTTCCTCCTCAGCCTCTTCATTGGGGGCTGGTAAATCATCTTCGATGAAAAAACATTCTCTTCGCTCATCCAAGAATGCTTTTACTGACCACCGCTCTCTTTTTCCTGGCATTGAAGAGGGCGCAGACATAAGACGGCAGGACCATCTGAACTTTAATGAGGGTGATCGTGTTTCGCAGGGAGACCGGAATATCTTCCTGATTATCGTTTTTAACATCCTCCAGATCGTGTCGATAATTGGGGGGTTTTTGCTCATATTCATTTGGGCCCACTTTGGCATCAAGTATAACTTGTTTTTCAATTGGGCGCTTATTCTGGGCATTGTTGCCATCATTACACATTTGGTCGGGATGGCTTCGTTATTTTGGAGATGCAGGAAAATGGGTCTTTTGTACCTGCTGATGGTTCTCGGCTCTGTTCTTCTGTATGCATATATCATTTTGCATGTATCCTCGTACGAGGGAAAGTTTGATCGAGTGTATGCCGAAAAGTGGGATTCTCTCTCTGCACAGCAAAAGGCGTCCGTTGAGAGCGAGGTAAGAATTGGCGTGTAATTTGCCTAGTTTGATTGCGCCGGCTGGAACTATTCAGCCGAGGTGTCACCCACCGACATTACTCAAAATGACACAAATGCCATTGTGTTGCCGAAAAAAAGCTGTGGCCTGTTGGTGATGCAGATTTTAGAGGCTATCGACACTGATAGATGGCCCTTGTTGATAGGGTTCTATATTTATCATGTGCTCAACTTTGCCCTTGCCGTTAAGCTAATTTATTTTTAACCCGGCAGCGATATCTTTTTGTAATAAATTTAAACTCAAAGTGACGTTTCGGCATCATCATGCTGTAAATGGGAGAGGGCCACGTGTGTGTGCTGAGTTGTAATCAAATCGAATCGAATCAATTTAATTTAATTTAATTTCTGGATACCCTTTTCACACATCTCATGGTGGGTGCACAAGCTTCCGTCCCTTCAATTGAAAAGACCAAGGGACACCTAGACGTGGAAAGTGTTTTTAATGAGGATCAGATATTTTCAAAGTATACAAACATTCAAAAAACATCGCCCCTCTTGGCAAGTAAGTATTCCAACAGCTCTACTTCCTTAATGGACCCGCCGATGTTAACAGGTGCTCATCAATATTTGTATGAGGAACATTTCAATAAGATATTTATTTGTAAGCCAAAAGAGCCAAGCATATCCTGTGGCTTTAGGCCAACTTTTTCGGTCACCCCAAGCCCAGAAAGCCCTCCAAACTCGCCGAAACACGATTCCTTTCGGAAAGAAGACCCATTAGTGACCCCTTCCGCTGAAGCTTCCGTTTTCTCTTTAGACCAGACATGTCCTCATTCTGGGCTGTTTGAAACAATCTCCAACCCTTCACAGATATCAAAGTGCCCCTCTCTAACGCTTCGGACACGAAGCATGGACTATCCAAGTGTTATCGCTCGTCGAAAAAGTACCATCAATGCTGCTTGCGAGGAGCTCCGCGAGCTTCTAGAGTTGCCAAAAACTACGTCCAAAATCGATACCCTGCAACACGTTATCCAACTAATTGCCGCCCATAAGAAGAGAAAAACCCGATCAGACACCGAATAGATTAAAGAACGGGTATTCTTAGTTTTTATTATAATAAACCCACCACCATCAGACTAAGCAATGAACTTAGGAGGATTGTTGCTTTGTCACAAGAAACGCACAGCCAGCCCGAAGACACTGAAGATGGGATTTCACCATCCAACAGCGCGGGCTTCGCCTCGACATCTACAGACGCGGCCGAAATAGACGGTAAAGCAATAAATCTAGTTCTATTAACCAGGTTGCTGGAATTCGAGGAGACTGGTTCATATAGCGCGGGGGGGATCAGGGGAAAGAATGTTGAAACGCTTTTTATGTTGAAGGCTGAAAACTGTGTGTCCGGCGTTTCTCCCTTCAAAAGTCCTGCATTGCGTTTTACCGAGAGAGAGCGTCCAAAGAAAAGCAGAAGAGCATTGAATGTTTTTAAAAAGACAAAATAGCGAGTGTGCTCTAGCTCTTGAGCCGAAATGACCTTGGGGGATGTAGCAGGGAAAAATGCTTGGATAATGTTGCACAAAATATTCCTGTTAATTCCGATAAAGGTCGAAGATTGGTCATCAAACCGATTTTCCTTCCAGATAATCGAAGTCTTTTGAAGATATACTACGACGTAATAGAAAAAGAAGGATTTCATCATCCAGATCGGGAGGTTTTCATTTTTTAGAGTATTACGGAGAGCTTCGATTTCTTGAAGAATGGAATTGTGGCAGATGATGGCTTTCAGCAGATCGATAAGGCAAAGATTAAAAAAAATGTCCAAAAAAGTCAAGTTTAAATTTTGCCTAAAGTGGCTTAACAAAATTCCGAACAGCAAATTGCAGTTCACAAACAAAAAAACCAAAGTAACCGTATAAGGAGTAAACGACTTGTCAGCCAAATACTCCTGAAAATAGATCATCGCTGCAATAAAAGGCACCATCAATTCGTACTCGGTGATCATTGAAAAGTTGCACAAAATAAAGTAAAAATAATACCAGAGCTGTGAGGCCGTCATCAAGAATGAACAGTCCGAGTATATGTTGTTGAGCTTGTCTCGCAGCTCAGAGGAAATGCATTCAAAAAGAGTAATTACCAAAACCCATCGAATCGAGGCCATGGAGGGCTTTGCGACACTAAGAGAAGGGATAGAAATGCAAAGCGTTTCAGCTAGGAATCTATTTAAAGGATAGCCTTCGCCAAGTATGTTAAAGATCATGAGGCAAAAAATGCACGATAATGCTGAAAACAGCTCGTGAAAACTGTCTGTCCAAGGAATCCATTGGTTAGTTAGGGAGCATCCTGTCTGGAATAAATAATATGTGACCACACAAATTCCGGTCTCATATTTGGAGATTTTCTCAATCGAGGTTTGCATGTATGATGGCCTGTCGAGTTCATTCCCAAAAACGCAAGGGATGCAAGCTATCACAGCAATGACTGCAGCAAGTATTTTAATAACGCCTCTCATTAAAAATTAAAAAAAGCACAAAATAATTGAAAAAAATAGGACATTGCAATGACTCTTTTTTGTGAACACAACCAATAGCAAGCCCCACATTAAAATTTAAAATGATTACAGTTTATATAAAGTCATGGGGATCTTGAACTTAAAGAAAGGCGGCTGGAAAGCGAAAGCATCGCTGGAGAGTCCGCCTGGATGATCTGATGCGATTGGCCTCCGACGCCTGTTCCCACCAAATACACATTCTCCCAAAATGCGAGTGGAGGATATACTTTTCTGCCCGACCTTGTCGTATGGCTAGGGGGGACTGAAGAAGGTTCTATTAGTGTGGCAGGCTCTGATTGTCTTCTACTGATTTTCTTCCTATCTGAAAAATCTTTTTTGCCTGTGGGTGTTTTCCTGTCCGTAGGGGCTTTCCTCTCTGTAGGGGCTCTCCTGTCTGTGGAGACTTCCCCGTCGACGGAGTCTTTCATATGTGACAAATCCATTTGCTCTGTCTTTTTTAGCGACTTTTTGAGCGGCTTTTGAGCTTCCTTTGATAACAAAATCGGTTTTTTTTCATTAGAAAGGAGCTCCTTTGGCGTGGCTTTTGTTTCTGGCTTTAAAGTGCCGTTTTGTGATGGTGGCGATAATATTCGCTGGCGGTTATTTTTCCGGACTTCCAATTGAAGTTCAGGTGAAAGTGCCTGGATCCATGCTGTGCCTAAAGGAAACCCATTGGAAAACAGAGAAATTGTACCAGCGGACCAGCCTAAAAACTAAATCACATAAAATTACCACCACTTTCCATTCCCTCGGCATCGATGGTACCCTGTAATTTGTATGATTTTCCGCTGGCAGTGACAATAATGTGCGGTGTCTTCGCAAGCGCAATAAGCGAGCTGTGCCAGGGCTGCAACGATCCATCGGGAAGCATTTTTTTCCCCTCTAGAATGGCCCATAATGGAAAGTCAATCACAGAATGTTTGGTGATCTAGAGGCGGTAAAACCGGGCCGACACAAACCTGTTGGTCATTCGGCACGCGTTGAAGACGCCACTCGATCAGAGTGACATCGGCGGAATTGGAATCTGGAGCAGAAATCCCGGTTTCAATTACGTTGGACAAGCTATTTTCTTTGTTGGTCTTTTCGACAATGTTTTCAATCCTGGTGTCGATGTGGGACTTTTCCACGTCATTTCCAAGGGCATTCCTACTGCCTCTGTCATTATTCCGAACTTTTCCAGTATTTGAGTCTATTTTTGCGACGGGCCTCGAAATTGGGTCCAACGATCGGCTATTGGGAGAGAACCCGACAGGCAAAGGTTTATCAGCCCTTCCTCCCATCAAAGGAGTATCCGTAGTGTTTTCAGAAAGATTGTTGTTAACATTTGGGGCATTGGCCTGCGCAGCTTTGACGGGGTCAAAATTGTCAGTACAGCCTTTGTGCAAAATGTTGGCTGAAGGCATCGATGCTATAGTAGGCCGCGCAGAGGGCTGCTCAGTGGAGAGCATTCGAGAAATAAGGGAAGACGCGGATGCTGGATTTTTGCTAGCAGCAAGGAATGGATTGGCAAGTGTCTCCTTATTTGCCCTCTGAAGCATGGCCGCCTTCAGAATATGGTTTGGTCTTGGCGACGTCATTGCAGTGAGATCCTTGACATGGAATATCTTTCCATTGGCAAGCGGGTCTGCATTGTCTCGGACGGGCGATGCCGTGGACCGATGGTGCATAGGGCGGTGGTCCATCGTCAATCTGTAAAATTAAAATCGGCATAAAATTTGGACCATATGGCCATTTCAGAGCACACCACAGGCAACTGCCAAGCAAATTTGGTAGCTTATCTGCAATATTTATTATATATCATCACCGCCAGAGGTAGCAAAGGTTAGAGTTTTTCAGCAACGCATTTTTCATTTAGCAAGCGCTCGGAGAGAAGCATTCTAGACGACGTCTTGCATGCTGAGAGCCCAGTGCACATGTGGCTCTCAGGCAGTCTGTGTGTGGAGCAGAATTTGCTTGAACAGTAGCGACACTCGCCTACAATTGGGGCTGGCTTGCTTTGACACCCATCAACTGGACAACGGCGAGCAGACTTTTTTGTGGAAGAGTTGGGCCCTGTTATGGGCTTGTCCTGGTCAGAGGGCCTCGCGGATGTGTCCAAAGACGCCGATGCAGATGTTGTGTCGATGGATTGTAAATTGGTTACGGTCATCGGTGAATTCGAAGAATGATGATCCCAGTTAGTCCCGAAAAGTATAAGTTGAGACCTGTTAACAAAGTTCGATTCCGATTCGTCGTAACCAGAACTGCTTCGCTTCAAAATTTATAACTTTATTTTTAATTTTAAACGGCACATTGATCGGTTCAATGCATAAGCCTTTTCAGAAGCATGCGTCTTCGACGCACGAATTTGTGCAGCGGGCAATTGCAAGAATAAGGTTGGGCCACCCCAAGCCGCTTTGGTTTGACACGGTGGTGCAGGTTTATCCTCCTCTTGCACCGTTCATGTTGTCTTCCGAACAGCGGGCCCCGTTTCCCACCAACAGCGACGAAAACATGCACAAACCAACAGATGATCCCTGTGACGATCCATGTGACCGCATCATCAGAAAAAAGAAGAACCAGCTCTCCAAAGAAGAACGGGAAATGCTGAATTGGCGACACCTTTTCCCCCCCAAATGGGACCACCAGCCGCTTCCAAAAATCCAAACGCCTCAAGATACACCGATTCGTCAGCTTTTCGAACGGTATCCATTTGAAGCTACTAGATCTGCTATGGACCCGATAAGCCCCGTCAAATTTCCGGCAATTTCAGTTGATGAGACGGGTGCTCATATTGATACGATTGACAATGTCCACCCTGGAGGGATTCCATCCCTGCTTGAAGATAAGCTTGCAAGAGAATGTGCAATTGCAACTAATGCCATATCGTCTACAATAGAACAATCTTCGGTCAAATTTGCCGAGCTGGAGATGAGTGCGCCACAACCTAACCCTAACCCTAGAAGAAAAGATCGCCGTAGGGTTAGGAGAGAGAAATTTTCGGAATAATCACAACCCTAACCCTAAATAAATTATTGTTTATTTGACACCTTCTTAATGGCGGTGTGCTGCTGGTAATTGTGGGGTGTTCGTGCCCGTGGCGGAGGATCAATCAGTTTTTTATTTTCTATCTTCCATCAGCTGACTTGCCAATCGTCTCATGATCTGCATTTTTTTCAAAGAGTCCTCTATGGAACACGTCCGCAGGAACGATATGTACTCGGATAATATTTGCGCCTCAAACAATGAAAGGGCAAAGCTTTCAGAAATCTTTAGATCATAATAGATTCTCAAAATGTTTTTAACCTTGTTTGAGGAAAATGGATTTCCAAGCGACTCGAATTCGTTCCAACTAAAGGTTAATCATGTTGGTCAAGCTACCAGTCCGTTGCGATCTGAAAGGCGCCTTCTTCTTCAGCCTGCGTCGCTTGGAAAATAAAGTTTTTGGCCTTGTTGAGGCTACAGTCCAATGTTTCGGGGATGGAAGACAATGACGAGTTGTACATCAACTCGTATATGGGCTCTGAATGCTCCACATACCTCTCCAAAAAGAGATCCATATCAAGAGAGGAAGAAAAGCCCAACATAAAATACATATTTACACAAAGGGAAATCAGAAAGAAAAATGCCAACATTCCTTTATCCAACGAGTAAAACAGCGAAAGCGCTTGATTGATATAATACAGCAGTTTGACGGCAAAAGATGCACCTTCATCGATGGGAAGTAAATACAGTATCCAAACTGGCGTTTCGGAAAGCAAAAACGAATACTTTGTGTGTGAAAAAGGGTCCGTAAAGTCCCTGGTGTTGAGTTTGCTTGATTTGTCCAATTGCTTTCGATTTGAGGAAACACTGGTTTGAGGCATGGAGACTTGAACGATGGTATCCTTAATCACATCCAAAAGAGAGTTTTTGTAGTCCACCAGTGCTTTGGAGACAAAAGTCTTCAATATCGGCTTCATAAAGGTCTGTTTACAAAAGATTATCGTTGACGTMAAAAAGATGTTGCATTTCGACACCCCAGCTGCGGTGATGCAATACCTGACCAAGGTGTAAAAGCAATCGCCAAATGGGACCGATGGGGTTTGCGCTATAACCTCGACAACATGAACGGAACAATCCTTTGAATATAAGATCCGAATGCTTTCATAGCACTCTGTTTCCTTTTTCTTCACTAAATGCATCGTTATGCTGATAAGTGCCATACCTAAGTTGTTGGTGATCGGGATCGTGTATTTCAAGTTCAGCGTTGGATATGGCTTTTCTTCCGAATTATTTGGAATATTATAAGGCGTGTCTTTCAAGTTATCAAACAGCGAGAAGGAGTCATCCGAAATTGAATCGCAAAAATGAATATCGCCAATGATGCCCCTGGAAGCCATAATGTTTCTGCGAAACTCTGAAATCAAAGGGTCCTCTGTTTTTGATGGACACCCATATTTGTCATCATCCGAATCATTCGGGTCTTCCTTTGTGGAAGAAATGCCGGCATTGTAAAATAGCGCCATAAACAAAAATTGCACAGGAATGTCGACAACATCGTTTAAAAGCGTCATTTCATAGTGGTCACTGGCATCGCAAGGACACGTTTCGACAATATTTTCACCTGAAGAATTATATTTATCGAACACACAAGCCCCTTGAAGATTTCCATTTGCAGCAGCGGTCGCAGAGGCATTCATGCTGAGCTCGCTAAAAATTTTCAAAGGCGAAGAAGATAAAGAAGAGATTGAGGCCACGTGGACTTTCTTCATGATCTCTTCAAACGGAATTGTCTCCTAAAATTATTAGCACACAGCAAAAACACCATTCCATCTGCCAACGAATTATGGACCAACAATAGCTCCGAGTAGAATCGATTGCAGCTATCCATTTGAAAAGACTTTACATGCAGCTAAAGATAACGGTGGTACCGATGCATGGAAATACCTCGACGTCATTTTTGCCCTTGATGATTATAGAGATGCTGTAGCTATACTCTTCCTTTTCTAGCGAAGTGATTTCTGGCAGCAAAATGGTTTCCTAAAAATATTTGCCACAAACATAAATACAAGGTGGTTTTGGCCAAATGCACACGAATTGAACAAAACAAAGCTGTTGGTCAAATACAACCGCCCCAACAGCACAATGTCTCGTTGCAGGGAGCAGTCCAAATCTACGGTCCGTTATGCAAGTCCATCGCACTTACAAGCTAGCACACCGACATTGGCCTTTATGTCGGGCTTTATGGAATGCAGCTCGAAATTTACATTCCCCAAGTGTTTGTCCGCATATATGGACGCGTTTTCCTCTAAGTTGAAATGTAAATAAACGCACAAAATACCAAGGCTGTGGTCCGCTTCGGCGCTCACGTGTGCTTTGTTCGAATTTACCTGCAGCGAAAGCAAAGAATCGGGTATGGATTCGTTATTTTCAATCACCATGCTTTCGGACGATGAATGGGGATTGATGGATACAGAGCAAGGATTGCCCAACAAAGCATACCGCTTTGCATTTATGAAGGTCTCCATCCAACTGCGAAAATCTTCTTCATTTTCGGCCTGGAAGATGATCGAGCTAAAAAGAGGAAAAAGACTCCATCATGCGGTACCGTTTGGCCGAGCTCATTTCGAAGCAAAAATTTCGTTCATGATAGTCTTGCGGCTTTAGCTCACATAGAAAAACATGAATATCGGAGGATTGTATTATTTCGCCCTAGCTCTTAATGATGGATAGAAACATACCCGAGCTTTTCCTAGAAAGCAATAAGAAAACAGGCTGTTTTTGAGCGTTGCATATACACGCCTCCATGCCGCTGATAAAGGCTTTCCACCGATTTTCTTCAGCAAATACCCCTGCTTTTCAATCCCAGAGCCCGCAGAAAAATAGTCTGGCACAAACCCAAGCCTTGCATTCTAATGATGGGTTAGCGGGATCAAGGGTGCAATACATCTTCCTTCTCCTTTCGTTGGGCCTCAAACGCGCCCACGATCGACTCTGACATCTTTTCTTTCTAAATCGCCATCACCATTGATCATAAATACCTCTTCAATCAATGTCTTGAACTGCTCCAAATGCGGTCGCAAGGACAAGAATATTTCAAATGAAGTCTGGTGATATTCAATGATCGAATTCAGGGACAACATAAACTACATTGACTTGCTGTATGCGGGAGACCTACTTTATCGGCAATGAATGGATCAAGAACGTGTATAATGTGGCTCAATTGTGCAGTGTAATCCAGGCATGTCGAAAGATACGCCTTTTTTTGCTCAAAAATTTGGTATTTTTCCTATCTTTAGCCGGGTAAAAGCAAACCTCCTTCATGTTGGAGGGCTCTTTTATCTTATTGATGGCGCCATATTTCAACATTGTCCCCTCATGCTTTTCAAACGCCTTTTCAAATCCTTTTCTTTTCTCCTATAAAGCAGTTATCGTATTGCACACTAATGCCTTGATGGAGCGCAGGTCTTTCTGCGAAAATTCCCGGATTGGAAACAGTAGATGCTTTCCGATCTCTTTTAGCTGCAAGTGAGGTTCTTAATGATACCAGTTTATGATTGCACGTCAATGAATTCCCAATTGAGGCAATCGATGCTTTCAGGATCTCGCGGATTAACTCGGTATCTATTCAGCATTAGCAAGTAGCTTTTGGTACAAGGATCATTCATTTCCTGAATCCGAGAAAGATCATCGACAAATTCTTTAAACGTATCGTTAAGATCTAAACATTAGCACCCTTCTAGTGCAAATACCCGCCGAATCTTCCAAACACGTTCTGAGGCTCTTATTTACATATTCGAGGTATTTGGAGAGATCTTCCAGGATATTTTCATGGGCCTGTCTTGAAGAATGAAAAAACGGGCTGTTGGACAATGCGAGATCAATGTTTAGTTCACAAAGGGTGGTGTTTTTGTGCTCCATTGTATTTGATGTGGCCAAAATTGTCGAGTCCAAACTTCCTGCAATTTAAATGTTCAAGACAATTATTATTTATTTGCCCACAATGGCACTCAACAGCTGACGACGGCCTGGCCAAAAACCATCCACATATGAGTGCCAATTACAATCCAAGCATTACAGCCATCATTGCATCACGAGAGTTTCTTTGTGCCATTTTGCACTTCCCAATGGCTGTCTAATAAAATTCCTTATTTAACGAGCGATTTTTTTGACAGGATTTGATTTTTCATTTCAGTACGCATCCAACTTTGTATCGGAAAGTTTACATGCAATGAAAATGCACACCGTCGATAGATGTCTTCCAGGGTCCATTGGCGCCATGTGATACGTCATAAATGATCTCCAACCCTAACCCGGGTTAGGGTTGGAGTGTGTCTAAAGTACACTTGAGCCCCCAAATTTAAAATGTTTACCTGATAAAATGCATGCTGACAAAACAAACTATGAATATCAACTGGAACAGGTCCTTACGGCACTAGACTCGGATCGGGACAACACTGCGCTGCTCAACTTGAAAAAAGATCTGCAAGATGCCATCAAGCTTTCAAAAGAGCTGGCGCCCAAAAAGCGACAAGCTACCACTCAAATAGAAAAGGGCGTTGAAAAGAGGCCGGTTCCGGAACAAGTTCCAAAGGCCGAAGAATGTGTCGCCACGGAACCAGTGTGCCTTCAAATTGGAGAAAAATGTCAAATCCGGTCCGAAGGTGGCGGATGGCTTGACGCAACGCTCTCTTCCATTGGCAAAAACAGGACACGATGGATTGCAATTACTACTAAGACAAATGAAACGAAAGCGGTCTCTTTGAAAGACATTAGGCCGATGCCAGAACACAGGGCAGCGCCGATTTTGCAGCTATTGCCGCTTGGTGGAGCACAGCTGACAACTGCCTCAAACCCCCCAACCCAAAAGGAAAAGGAGAAGAGGATGAAAAAGGTTGCGGCGCGCCAGGAATACCTTGCCCGAAAGGAGGCCGAACACGAGCAAAAAGCCTCCGCTTGGGCCACGTTCCAATCTAAGCTTTCAAGAAAAACCAGTGCCAGCCTATTTAAACCCCCAAGAGCCAATGATAAAAAATTTAATTAACCCGGTTTACAGTAAAGATACAAATGAGAAGTAAAAGAATAGGGACGATGGACCCAACCCACCCTAGAATGTAAAACCGTCCACATGCAGTGTGGCCATCCAGCACAAACTGCAATAGGCTCATGATGGCCATGCTGACCATTGACTTGACAGAGATGTAAAATGTGACCATCTTCCCGGAACAGTTGAGCTGCTCAATGGCCTTGCTGGTTAGCATGGTGCCGACGGCACTTCCGGTCGACATGAGGACAGCCCATAGACACCCAAACCTAATATATGTACACGAGCTGCCAAGCAGGGACAGAGTTATCATAGAATACGCCATTGCAACGGTTGAAATGATACAAATCAGGAATGCAGTACGATGGTCTTTTTGCCACCAACTGGTGAACGAAAGATACAGCGAGCTGCAAAAGCTTGCGATTTTTCCAAGAGCATCAAAGTAGCCACTATGCATGGCATCGATATTTCCATTACTTGCGTAGCGGTAAACTAAAGAAGAAAAATAGTTTTCGCATAGCCCCAAAGCACAGAAAATGAAGATCCAGGCAGATGTCAATAACAGCACATTGGCATTTGGGATGAAGATATCTTCTCTCAGTGTTTCCTCAGCCTGCCTGTCGAAATTGCCTTTTCGCTGGATGCTCCAGACCAGCATAAGGATGGAAAAAAACAGAGCAACAACCAAAAAAATCAAGGTCAGGGCAAATGAAATCCACAGGCTAAAATGGGATATCAAAATTCCAGCAGAAAGACATGCAAATACGTGGCCTGCAAACACGAGAGACTTGATGTGTGCATTCCATTTTGCGGCAACAGCAGGTTCAAGGTAGCTAGAAACGCACCCATAAAATCCACTGGAAGATGCTGTTGCCATTCCATAAGTAACCTGCATCATGACCATCCAAAAAAGAGTGTTTGGATGGCCACCTTCAACAAAAACCAGCAGGGCATATGTGACTGTCTGAGACAGCATCTCAAACAGTATAAGCAATTCTGGCGATAAAATGACGGACAACGCAACGATCAGAATGCGAAATATGGCATCAGAATAGGTCCACATCGGAAAAATTTGGTTGTTCACCTAGAGTAAGTTGCGATCTCGCTTCCCACCTCGTATTCGGAAAGCCTTTTGTCGTGAACCAAAAACAACGTCAAATACGACTCGCCAAACTTTAAAGATTTTGTTATTGCAATCCCAACAACTATAAACAGCAGGAAATACATTCCATTTTGTCTAATTTTGGAACTGGTCATTAAACGTGCAATTTCAAAATTAATAATCCCTTTCATCACATCGCTCATCATCCATTTTTAGATGTTCATTTATTTTGGCTTTATTTAGGGTTAGGTTTGTCTCTCTACATACCGACGTCCCAATGTATACACATACATGCACACACATACATACACACATCAATGTAGGACTGCACATCGTTTAAGAAACAAAAATTGACGACAAACTGTCGTGATCTAAAAAATATCTAAAAGGGTTAGTTAACAAAAAGATCATGCGTACATTCCAAAGCACACCAGCAGAAACCAAAAGGTGCCAAAGCAACAATCAGCAATAAGGACGCCCCATGAGGAAAGGAAAGGATTTGACTGCAGGTTCGATACATGGAAGATATAGCACGTACATAAGAATAGCAGGATAATATTGGGTTTTGGTAAGATATGAGTAAAAAAGATCTTGGGATACGGAAATAGCGATCGGAAATAGCCTGAGAACATGATGAGCTTACAAAGCATCCCAAAGATGGAGCCAAAAATGACCACATCAAAGGGAGATTGCACGAAAAAGGAAAAGACAAAGGTAGCTGCAATCGAGCAGATCGAGCTCAAAATGTCGAAGCATTGTACTGACAGGCCGATATCTCTACTGGTCACTTTGAGGATGGAGACTGATATTTCTGTCTCAATTGGAATCAGAATGGCACTGAGTGCCAGCGAGAAAAGAGAGATTCCAAAAAGATGCGAAATCTGCCACAAAGCATCGAAAGATGAACTCTTATTCATGAGCAGGATAGCTAGTAGGTGGCTTTTAAAAAACGTGCCAAAAACAACCACCCCCAATGCCCAGTATGTTGCCAGCCTTACTCTTGATAATACTTCACGCGCCTCTTGTTTGGACAGCTCCGTTACGGAATTGGCACGCGAAAAAGCAGCCTGCTTAATGGCTTCAGAAACGGGTGTGTGGATTAATCTTGAAGGTATGCTGCCGTATTGAGATGCGATCGAATAAGATCCTTGGAGCATAGCTACTTTCTCCTGCGTCAAGAAATGATTTTTTGCCGTCAAAAACGAGATGAATATGGATCCTACATTTGCCAATACGGTAGAAATAAAATTCCTTCTACACTGTTTTAGAGCGTTCAAACAAAGATTGTAAAAAGAGTGATGCCTAGCATCAGGTTCAATACGCTGCACAGCGACGTCGTTTATTTTGCCGTCAAAAGAGGACAAAGTCTTACTGGGGAAAAGCGCCAGTTTTGTAAATGAATGGTACTTGACCAACAGGAAAAAAGAAAAGGTCCCCAATAGCTTAGCGATTCCAAAAATGACTAAAGCTGCATTCGAGTTTCCAGGGGTATCAATAAAGGCAGAACCAACGAGCTGAAAGAAAGCTTGCAAAATCGTTGTAATAGACTCGCACACAACCACGTCATAAAGCCTTCCACTGGCCTTGGCATAAGACAAATCCAGCTCCATAACGACCTCGATTTGTGAGGCAAGGAAATACATTGCCAAGGCATAAAAAAGAGGCTTGTCAGATATTGAACCCCCAGATAACGGACCCCATGGCTTTTCTCCAGTGATCCAACAAATAGTAATAAGCCAGAAGACCATCAAAGCAAACGCTGGGATTTTAAGAAGCCGCTTTAACGTCTGCCATAACTCGGGCGAGAGCCGTGCATTTCCCTTAAATTTGTGGTCATTTATTTGGCTGATAAGAACAGATCTGAACCCCTCCAAACAAAGAGACATTCCGATCGTATATGGAAGGTCCAGCTTGAAAGCAACGATCCCAATGATTCCTGCAGATAGCTAAGCAGTTAGAATCACATGGCCATACTTGTCTGAATAAAAAAATATGGATAAAGAAGCTTAGCGATCTAACGATGATTTGTTGACCCACCAACAGCAAAACGTTACAAGGGGCAAATTTAACCAGATTGTCGTTGCGTTTAGAGCACATGAAGCACAATATCAAAAATTTTAGAGCACATAAACATTAAAATTTGGGTTCAATTGAACCCAATTTATTACACAGCACCATGCGGTTGTTTGTTATCAAATGAAATAAGGGATCACTTGCACCAGCAAACAAATGGCAATGAATGGGGGAATGGTCCAAACTTCCGGTCTAATGGAGAAGCTCGTCCGACTCTCGTCCTTCAGATATGCATCCTCAGAAATCGGGGCCCAATTGTTAATACGACCACACATGGACCTCAAATCCGAATTTAACAAGGCCAAGGCATCCATGTGGTTTGCCCTTCTTTCGAAGATACCAGAGTTGGCCACTCTAAAGTACTCGCGATATGATTTCCATAAATTTGTCTTGGTTTCTTTTGGGATGGCATCAAAACAATCAAGATCCATTGTGGATATTATTCTGAACGGCATTAGCGGTTTTAGCTCTTCTTGGGCCACATCGCCGGACGAAACATGGGGTAGTTTTTTTGAAAATACCTCCTTGAAAATGCTGCTTGACTTTCCCTCCTTTAAATAGCGTTGCAATTGAGAGTCTTCTATAGCCATTGGCTCTCCAACGCCGCCCCACCTATTGGATATATCAAAGAAATTGGAGGGCAAATTTTTACACCTATCTGCCCCCGTAAATAGCTTAGAAAGACACTGGGTGGAGGCCACAGAAAGCTTCAAGCAATTACCAAAGTCCGATGGCATCAAAATACAGCAAGAGTCTGCGTTTTCCTSCCTTGGTAGCACTGAGGAGTACAAGAAATTTGTTCTCACCAAAGTGGTTGGGGAAACTGCCGCCCAATGTGCTAATAGTGCCGAGGGTCGCTGTTCGACCATTTTTTCCAATAAATAAGGAGTGAGGTGGTTTATCAGTTCCTTTGAAAGGGAGTTGATGCATTGGTCACTCAGCATCCCCATAAGACCGGCATCGATGATCTGGAAAAATTGAGGGATCGTCATGGACGAACAATCGGTTATTCCGGCAAAGTTTAATGGAGGCACTTGCAATACATTGAGACGACTCAAGCAAGAACACTTGATACCCTCAGAGGGCACATACTTGTCTTCTGTATCGGCCTTGTCGGCCTCAATTAATTGATGCGGTAAAATGGTCAAAAACGGATACGAGGCCAATCGATTTGTGAACAGGTAGCAACAGTATCCTTTCTCGCCAGGCTTTTTAGAGCCGCTGAAAGCCTGAAAATTTTTTGATCCCAAAAGGAATGAGCTGGCACAAGCGAACATTGAAGGCGAAGGGCCCTTCTCCGCAACACTTGAGGAAGTCACATTTCCATTGGACACGTTGATGGAAAACACGGTGGTGCCAAAGAGGCTTAAAAGTAGAATACAAAGGTATATACAAGAACATCGCCCCATGTTTAGCAATATCAGGCCAGTAAAGGCTGCCTTACAATAGCATGAGACCAAATAATTTTAATTGGTCGGCCAACATACAAATCCAATGGGATTGATTGCCAAATTTTTAAATGAAAAATGAAACAATTAATCCAGCTATTCTCCAATCCGCTTATTAAGGTGTGGATATTTTCCCCAGATCTTGCAGATATTTCTGAAAAGATAAGCGACTCAAGGTAAAAATCGCCATATCCTGTTTCCTAGCGACTCTGAAGCTCTATTCCATACTTTCGCATGGCCGGGTTCAATTCTTCTCTCAGAATATATTGCATCGTTTCCTAAAATATTTATAGGCGCCAGGATATTTGAGGTTTGGTTTATCATACATAAAAGGTAGCTAAGCGCGGGGATAGCCATTCCCTCAATTGTGGCCCTGAAAATCGGGGCTACCCATGCCATCCTCCACGAACGGCCCTCCATTGCTTATGGGGAAATTACTGGCTCAATTATAAAAGCCAATCATATTTTGCGATCTCAAATTAGTACGCTTCAATTTAATTGGGCAGATGACAATGATCAAAATTTTGCGCCAAGTATGAGACCGCACCTTATCATTAGTTGAGCAAATCGATTTTGTATTTTGCTCTGACTGCATCTTCCATAAAAAAGGTATCTCACTAGCTTTCATCAGTTGATATATGCAACATTATCAGAATAATTGCTCGCATATTGTGGACAAATTCAGAGTGCAAAGCCATGCTCGCATATCATCATCGAAAGTATGTAGAATCGAAATTTTGAATGATAGTCTATACTGCACCATAAGACCATGGCTTGTTTTTTGGTCTTTAACATGTAGACCTATAGACATACCTTTTGGATGGAAAGAGTCTCTGAAAAAGCATCACATGTCCACCATGCCTTCCTTTGCTCACGAAGCCGACGAAGTCTTTTTATTTTTAATTGAAAAGGCTAATTCCTAAATATTCAAATCAGTAAATTTAAAACATGTGCGCATGTGGAGATTGATCGGCCAGTTTAATTTTACGCACATCCAAATTGTCATGGAAAGCGACGAATACATGCTAAAATGCGGATTGGCTTCCATGTTAAAGGTACAAGCTGTGTGTAACATTGAGGGCGGTGTCATCATGGATGTTGTCAATGAAGAGCAGGCAAAGATTGCCGAGGCTGCAGGTGCCTGTGCCGTGATGGCACTGGAAAAGGTGCCGGCAGATATTAGAGCGTCCGGTTTGAAACAACTGCAATGCTAAGTTTAGGCGACATTGCCAGAATGGCAGATCCATCAATTATTGAAAAGATTCAAAGCGCAGTGTCCATTCCGGTCATGGCAAAGGTCAGAATTGGGCACTTTGTGGAGGCAATGATACTGGAGCATTTGAAGGTCGATTTCATCGACGAATCTGAAGTGTTAACCCCGGCAGATCCATTCCTCCACATCGATAAGCGAGGTTTCAAAATCCCGTTCGTGTGCGGATGCAAAAGCTTAAGAGAAGCATTGAGAAGAATCAATGAAGGAGCTGCCATGATAAGGACAAAGGTTGCAAATTTATATGCTGACAACTTAGGGCGATGCCGGAACCGGAAATGTAGAGGAGGCCGTTAGACATGCAAGAATGTTAGCAATCGAGATTCAAGCGCTACGAAAGGCAATAGATGCCGACTTTTCAGGAAGAGAAAATGAGGCCTATAAAGCCTACTCGAACGAGTTTGGCGTTCACGAGGGCATAATCAGGGAAACCGTGAAACTTGGCCGCCTTCCCGTGGTAACATTTGCGGCCGGTGGGATTGCAACGCCTGCAGATGCAGCAATGATGATGCACCTTGGCATGGACGGCGTGTTTGTCGGATCGGGCATTTTTAAAAGCTCCAATCCGGAGGCGCGAGCAAAGGCAATCGTGTCTGCCGTAGCCAATTACAAGTGTCCCTCTATTTTAAAGGAAGTTTCGATGGATTTGGGCAATTGCATGAAATCATCTAAAATGAATAATTAAAAATAAACGTTGCAAATAAAATACAACTTTGAGGCCGGATAATTCCGGAATTTTCTTGATCCCTCACGTCTCACACTTCACGCATGAAATATAAGCTAAATTTTATTTTTGGCAAATCCAGTCTCCACAATGTCTACTCCTGTGAAAGTTGGTATTAACGGTTTTGGCCGCATTGGCCGCATTGTCTTCCGTATTGCTCTTAGCAACCCCGCGGTCAATGTTGTTGCAATCAACGATCCATTCATCGATTTGAAGTACATGGTCTACATGCTTCAGTACGACTCAACTCATGGCCGCTTTCCCGGAACCATTGAGGCCAAAGATGATTGTCTTGTAGTCAATGGAAAGGCAATCAGAGTTTTTTGCTGCCGCAACCCCAAGGAAATCCAATGGGGCTCCGTCGGAGCAGATTACATTGTCGAGTCTACCGGTGTCTTTACATCGATTGCCGACGCAAGCGCTCATCTTGAAGGGGGTGCTAAAAAGGTTATCATCACTGCACCCTCCAACGATGCTCCAATGTTCGTTATGGGAGTTAATCATGAAACTTACACCTCCGATTTAAAGGTCATTTCTAATGCTTCTTGCACCACAAACTGCCTGGCTCCACTTGCCAAAGTGATCCATGAAAACTTTGGAATTGTAGAGGGTCTGATGACTACCGTTCATGCCGTTACTGCAATGCAAAAGACCGTTGATGGACCGTCTTCCAAGGACTGGCGTGCTGGCCGTGGTGCGATCCAAAACATTATTCCCTCCTCCACGGGTGCTGCTAAGGCCGTCGGAAAGGTCATTCCAGCGCTTTCTGGAAAACTTACCGGCATGGCATTCAGAGTGCCCAATCCAGACGTCTCTGTTGTCGATCTCACCTGCAGGATCGAGAAGCCAGCCTCCTATGAGACAATCAAGGCTGCCATTAAAAAGGCATCTGAGACCACTCTTAAAGGAATTCTCGGCTATACCGAAGACGAGGTTATTTCAAACGACTTTTTGGGCGATTCCCGCTCCAGCATTTTTGATGCCAAAGCCGGTATTTCTCTCAACGATAACTTTGTTAAGCTTGTTTCGTGGTATGACAACGAGTATGGATACTCCAGCCGTGTTGTGGACCTTATTGCTTATGTCGGCTCTGTTGATCGCAACTAATAAAATCGGTTAAATAAAAAAGTTTATTTATTGGGCCTTTTTCCCTCTTCTTGTCCTGGATTTGGAGTCTTCAACCGTGTCCTTTTTAGACTTGGAGTCCTCGTCAGTTTTGCTTTTTTTGGGCTTGGAGTCCTCGTCAGTTTTGCTTTTTTTGGGCTTGGAATCCTCGTCAGTCTTGCTTTTTTTGGGCTTGGAGTCCTCGATTTTGCCTTTCTTTGGCGCCGGGGGTCCATCATCCTTTTGCTCTTTTTTTGATTTGGGTGCACTAACTGGTTCTAATTCCATATTCTTCTTTTTGGAACTTTGGGAATCTTTTTTTTCGCTTTTGGAAGCTGGATTCACCTCATCGGCTCGCCCTTTTTTCTTAGATTCTAGCTTGGCCTCAACTTTCTTTGTCTTTTCGGAGGAATCTTCTTTTAATTCAGGCTTTTTTTCCTCCTTTACAACCTCTTTTTTGTCTTTAGCATCTCGCTTTTTAGATGCAGGCTCCTTATTTTGCACAGAAGGCTTTTCGGCTACTTTTAAAGCTTTCTTTTCCTTGGCCGATGATTTGGCGTCGACTTTGGGTTCCTTCTTGGGCTCGGCCTTGGGTTCCTTTATGGGCTCGGCCTTGGGTTCCTTTATGGGCTCGGCCTTGGGTTCCTTCTTGGTCTTGGTGGAATCCTTCTTGGACTTATCAGTGGAGCCTTGTTTTCGCTTCTTTGAGGAAGGCTCTGTTTCGATGTCCATGTCCATTGTTGTTGCAATAATGGGGTTCAACTTTTCCATAACCTTGTGCATGACCTCTTGGTTTGAGAGGGGAGTTGGTCCACCATCAAAAAACTCCAACCTTTGCTCAACCTGTTGGCGCAGAGCATCTCCAAAGGCAGCGTCAGGAGTATCTGAAAAAGAGTCCAAACGAGATGCAATGCTGCATTTGTTTGCCAGAAACCGAGAAATCCGGCCCTTATTTTTGGAAGCGGCTCTTCCAATAAACGTTGAATGGAATATCAGCCCATACTTTGGTGTCTTTCCGCGCGTCTTTAGCGCCCTAAAAAGAGCCTTTTCAGCACCAAGGATCTGAACCGTAGATGCCGGAAACTTTGCCAAATTTGTCAGGCTTCCGGCATGCGAAATCAGCCTGGCGCCGACAGAATCTCCTATCAACGCAGCAAGATTGGGCGCAACCACGTTCATTTTGTTGTGAAGATAGTTTCCCAAAGAGGCCCGATATTCTGCAAGATCAACAAGCTTGTTAGCAAAGTGGTTGATGTTGACCATGTCGGCCTCGGCAATCTCCATTCCCATGGATATTTTAGAGGCATCGACAATCATGTTCGCTAAATTGGTATCATTGACAATGGAGAGCAGCTTTTCAAACATCGAAGGGTCGCTTTGGATGTTCGAGCGCTGGCGAATGAGGAGGGCAAGCTTTGCATACTGCAAGTTGTCCTGGGCGATTTTGGAAAGCTCCGGAAAATGCCAAGAATACCACTCCTTGATGCGCATGGAAAACAAGTTGATATCTTTGTCCAGTTGATCGCACAGCGCAATTGCTTGGATTATCATGTTGTCCGACCTGTTCACGTTAAAGGCGACTTTTCCGCCAGAAAATGCATGTCCAAGACCGAGTTGGGAACGCTTCAAATCTTCTGAAACAATATACTGCGACAGCAATTTGTCCAAATGGCACCTGATGCCACGGACAAGCTCATGGACAAGATCGTCAGAAACACAATTAATCCCTAGAGTCTGCTTAATGCTGCCAGCAAGAGCCTTATCCGATACGCCGAGAAGAATTCCCGATTTTGAAGATGCGGATTTTTTTGACGCCTTGGGAAGAGCCAGCTCAAGGAAAGATTCCAGAGTCTCTGGAACCTCGCCTTCCGCCAAGCTGTTAATATTCTCCAGAGCATGAGCGGCACTTTTGAAGGGCAAAAACGATGTCAATGTGATTCGCTTACCGAATTTGCTGATATCCAAAACCTCCTTTTGGATTTCTGGAAGATTTTTCCCGATATCCTCGACATTATGTGTTTCAAAGAGGGAATATCCTGATGAGGTTTCAAATAAGACGTGCATTTGAAATCGCAAAAAGTAATTCTCAACTTTTTAATTTTATATATTAAAAGAATTTAAAAGTTCAATACTTTATTGTGGAATTGATCCATTAATTAATTAATTAATTGATCCGTCAAACTTGGATGGCGAAAAAGTTTGGAGAAAACCAAAAGAAGCAGCAGGGCCGGGAAAATAAGCAAAAGGCCTTGGGTCTCAAACACAAACAAACACTAGATGAGAAAAACAGAAAGGAAGAGGAGTCCTGGAAACAAGGTGTCAAGGATACGTCCAAGCAAGAGGCAGAGAGATTGAAGATGGAAGAAAAGAAGGCAAGAAAAAAAGAACGTGAAAGCCTACTTTTGGAAGAAGAGGTTTTGGAGCTACCAAACACAAGCTTTCGAACTGCTCCAGCAAAAAAAGCCATGGCATCGCCAGCACCAATCAGAAAGGATACTTCGCAAACGGAATCTGTGTACTCCGCATCCAGTGTCGATGATGCTCTGGAGCTACTGGCGACCATCAAATCTTCAAGGTCCAGCATTGCTTCTTCCGTGGAGCGACACCCAGAAAGGAGGATGAAAGCAGCGTTTGCAGCATTCGAAGAGAGGGAGCTCCCGATATTAAAAGCCGAATATCCATATTTCCGACTCTCTCAGCTTCAAGAAATGCTGAGGAAAAAATTTGCAAAGTCCGATGAAAATCCATTGAACCAACCGCATGTATCATATGAGGCAACCCCTGATGAAGTAAGAAAACTGGCCTCGCAAATCCAGGAATCCAAGCTGGATTCGTTCAAGTCAAACCATTAATAAACACAGAGTTTTCTTGCATGCAAATGGCGTTTCACGATAATAAACTGTTTCAAGCTCGGCCGCAAATCGGCCCAAAACACCGTAACGCACCATGGTGGCCCGGAACAAGCAAACACCGAAATACAACGTAAATTTTTTACGCGATATGCGAACTATGCGAACTCGAACAAAATTTGTTCATTTGGCGCTGCCATTGGTCCATTTGCTTCTCGATGACCTATCCCAAATCGGCATTTCTATTGCTTTGGCCAACGCATTTTATTAATTATCCAGATGAGTCAGCAATCGCAATCTTCATCACTGTACAGGATAACTTTTGTTACTTTTAGATTCACTCGTTGCCAGGTTATACTTGAATATTTGAAAAGCCTTCCAGGTTGGAGGGAGGTGTATTACAACCCGCTACCGGAGGCTTTTAAGGAGCAGAAGCCTACAAAGACGCTTTGGGCCCTATTCAGACAGGGCGGAACCCTATGCTACATACTAAATCTGCTGATGAAAAACGCAATCTCCTACATTGAGCCGTTGAATTTCGAACAGCAATCTCCGGATTTTGACTCAAAGTCATGTAAAATGAACGTCTTCAACTTTCTTCAAGCGTGTCAAGAAGATTTTTTTATTCCCTCCGACCAGCTTTTTTCAGTCTCAGAAATTTATAAAGACGATAGCACTGTTCTGCTGCGAACAATTAAACTGGTGGAGGGACTCCTAAGTAGGATCGAAGGCGCCACTTGGCTTGCCCCACACGATGCCTCGTCCGTGCAATTAACTTCTTTTGCTGACACCAAATCCAAAAGGCTATCCTTTATGGTCGATAACGACAATGTATCGCCAACATTGGGTCCAGTTGTTAGCCCGGAAAGAGCGGAAACATCCAGAACCAGCAATGACAACATACATGCCGACCTACGAAAAAAAGCTGTTCGCGAGCTTCTTGAAACGGAACGAACTTATGTGAGTCAACTGGATGTGCTTCAGGTAAGACCATAACGCTTCCCTTTTTGCTAGGAATATTTGCAAGAGATCGAGTGCGATAGCGAAAAATCGATAACCCAGGAGGACATGGACATCATTTTCTGCAATCTGAATGAGCTTGTCGACTTCCAAAGATTCTTCCTTATCGACATGGAGGCCACATTGACAAAGCCTACAGACCAGCAGCGACTTGGGCAACTGTTCTTATCAACGGTTCCATTGCTAACCGTTAAATTTTAGATTACGCACACGAAAACGTTTGCCTCCTACTACCAATATGTGGAGAATTTTGAACGGGCAATTGATGCCATAAAAAGGAATGTCGACCAGCTAAAGGTATTTGTCAAATGTGGGGTGTCTTATTGATTTATTAGAAATACGAAAGCAAGATTTCGCATGGCCAGCTTCAATCGTTCCTAATAAAGCCGATCCAAAGGATATGCAGATATCATATTCTTTTGAAGGAAATCAAAAAACACTCGGACAAGTCGGCCTTGGAAACGATTAACATTATCAAGGCGTATGATCTGATGAAAAAGATTGCCGATCAAGTTAATGAGGAAAAAAGAAAAGCAGAAAACATACAAGTCATGGAGGAGCTAAGAGGCAGCGTACAGAACTGGGGGGTACCAACTATTTCGCTAATCGCCTTAAATAGATGGGGTATTCCGTTGATAGCTTTAAGCCTCTCCAGCTTTATGGCACGCTTCCGGTAAAGTTTGACACAAGCACAGAGGAGAAGCAAATGCATGTGTTTGTGTTTGAAAAGGCGTTGTTGCTGGGAAAGTCTTCCAATAAGCAAGCGGGGGTGTTGAGTTCAAGCAACTTGTCCATCATCGAGTGCATTGAAAAGAACTTTGTCACAAATATTCAAAACGACTCAAAAGATGGTAAGTCCCATGTGATCCGGTGTAACTTTAGATAATCTCCAATTGAAAATATACTGGCATGCCGAGAAAATACGCTGGCTTTCTCTCTCTTTCATCAACGAGGAGGTTTTCAAAAAATGGTATCTTTCGTTGATCAGATTGACGAGCCAGCATGATGAGCACCACAAAAGTGTCCAAAATACTTCTGCCGCCGTTGCCACGGCTGCGGATTTGAAACCCTCAAACAAACTAGCAAGGGAAACTATCAGCCAAGAAAAAGCCACACGTCGGAAATCCAAGTTAAAGAAACTTTTAGGATCTCCCAACATCAAAAGCTCATCCCAAATCATAACTGATGAGTATTCTCTGGAGGAGAGGGAAACTCCCTCTAGTCGCCTTCCTTCAATTGAATCAGTCATGAACCCTCCTCAACAGCGACTGGTCAAGATTATTACATCCACTTTCGCCAAGTTGGCTGTTCTGCCGTCAGATGACGACTTTGAGGTTTTGAAAGAGTTTCTTTCGTCAGCATTTTCCACCAGTTCCAAGCAATTTTCCATCTTTTACAGAGACAGGCAAAAAGATGCCTTACTGCTCGAATCAGATGCGGATCTTGAGCTTGCCTGCAAAGACTGGTTTGAAAGCGACCGGCTTGAGGGTGCATTTCCGCTTATTTTGAAAAGCGACGATGAGGAGCCAAATCGATGACGATGGCCAAGCCGATGACGGCGAACCGAAGCAGTAAATAAAAGACATTTTTATTTGTATTTTAGAAGAATAGAATCCCTCCACCGCTTGTAAAAGTAAAACTCGGGAGAATCTTCCAAAATGCCTGCATATTTGATGTGTTCAGGAAGCAAAGGAACCGATCTTCTGGGCATGTTGAGAGCACAATTTTCCGCACCCGCAGATGGCGAGCAAGTGTCACTCATTTCAAGCAAAACGTCTTTGTGACCGCCAATTGTTTTGTGTGGGCTTCGCTTCTGCTTTTTGAGCTCCTTAAATAACAACGAGTCTGCCTGAATGGCATCCAGCTGTTTTCTGCACATGTGTCTGATGGACTGCAAATAGTTTTGAAAGCTTCTTTCATTGATGGAATACTTTTCTATAATCAGCTTCTTGTCTACACGCAACTAAGAGCACGTCAGCATGGCATGCATTTCATACCTTGAGACAGGATGTCACGGCGATGAAGATGGCCAGCAAGAGGTCGGGATTTTCGTTTGTAACGAAAGCCTTGGATGCTTCCGGAAGTGTGCTGCAGAAAAGAGGGATAAACATATCCAGCAACTTTTCACAGGGACAAATCAGTTGCTCGCATCCAGTGGAAAGCCCCAAAACCCGGATCGACAGTTTGGAGAGGTTAAGCGACAGCCCACTGCTCAGCTGTTGCATTGCCGTCAGATACTCTGCATTGGTAAGACAAGAAAACCGCACGTTGAATGCCCTATCGATGGTAATTTTGCTCCTAACAGGAAGGTGGTAACTTTTGCATAAACCATACTGTGCCAATACCAGCTCTATGCAAACAAACACGCGGGCAGGCTCCAACGGACCCATTGATGGGCACAGGATAAGAGACCTTTTAAACAAAGAACGCGATTTTTCTAAATACTCGCCATACTCCGAGGTGTTCAGTCCGCTGGACCTGAGAACCTTTGAGAAATAGCCATCAAAGTTTCTTATAAGGTCCATTGAAGGGGCGCCAAAGGGCAAGTTTAATTGTAATTTTGGTGAAATTAAACGGGACCGTGTTTCCGATTTTTTAAAATGAACCCAAATCAGCCCGCCCCGTCGTCGCAATCCGCTGCGCCCAGTACGGGCCCAATACTGCCGAAAGATGCAGTTGTATTGAGCATGATGATGCAGACCCTGTCGATACATGAATGCGAGCCGCAAGTGATCCCCCTGCTGCTGGAATACTCGTATCGCCACATCACCGACACGCTGATTGCTGCAAGCTCATTTGCCGAGCATTGCGGAAGATCGCCATTGACAGAAATATCGCTGCATGACATCAGATATGCAATCCAGTCGTTGGCATCTCGGATTTCGAGCTCTTCGGGCGGCGCATGTGGGGTTCCCGGAATCCGCCCGTCTCGGGAATTGCTATTAGAGCTTGCGACAAGGAAAAATGCCGAGCCCTTTCCCATGTCAACGCAGTTATCTGATGGCTCTTCAAATTCGATTGCAGGACGCACCGCCCTTAGGCTGCCGCCAGATGAGCTATGTCTACTTGGACAACAGTCGCACCCGATGTCGGTTAACCCCCCACTTCACCACATTAACAAATGACCGATGCTGATGAGAGGACCCGACTTGGTCGGCATTGATCCCGGCGCGTGCCCCACCCCTACAGCAGCATATAGGGGCAATAAACGCTGAAAAATCGAACAGTAGCAACATTTAATGGGTTATAAATTAGGGGGCATGGGTTAATGGCAATTACAGACATCTTATGAGGGCATGCGACGTTTCCAAAAGCTCTATGCAAATGGATGCATCTAGGGGCGCGTTGGGGGAATTCAACAGCCACCGAACTTGATTGAAAATCTAAAGACAAGCGTAAAAACCCCAATACCTCTGTGGAGACAAACGAGAAGGAGATATCAATTATGAGGCCTTTGCGGCCAACGATACCATCTAAGATAGATGTAAAGTCGCCAAAGTTCCGGATCAGAATGGGGTTCCAACAAAGCGATAAGTATTTACATTTGACACCCAAATTATGAATGATCGTCACGGCTCTTTTTGCATCCAAGTTACACCTGTCAAAGGCAATAAATTGCCAACAAATATCGAGGCCCAGCATATTATAGGAAGAAATGTCTGGATTCCCACTCAAATTGAGGGTGCACTTTTTACTTTGACCTGAAGAGACTGGGCAATTTTGAGACATCAGTGAGCTGAGCTCTGTGGTCAATCCGCAATTTATCAACGAAAGGGAAGCTAGGCGTGTATCCTGCATAACCAATGCATTGAGCAGCCTCTCTAACACGGAACAGGGAAATGGGCCAAAAACCTCAACACACGAGACAAAGACAAGAACGCTCAATAAACCATCAACGAGGCGATTGTTGCAAATTTCAGACGCACAAAATAATGGCCCAATGGCTACTTTATCAAGAGCATGTCTTGGTGTCTTGAAGGGCAATACTAGATTTGATAATCCAAAAAGCGATAGTTTATCATTGTGGGAGACATCCAGGGATGAAATCGTGGCAGTTGAAACAAATTGGGACCACTCCTTGAGAGATGAAAGACCCTCCAATAGGTTCCCTCGAATCGAAAAGCTGCAAAAGTCACCATTTCGAATGTGACTATCAAGAAACAAAAACAGGACATCATCGGTGATCAAATTATGCGACAAATCTAGACTTGAAATGGTCGACATTTGGAAGCAAGAAAGAATCTTCAAATTGGATGCCAAAAGACATCTTGATATGGTTAGCCTTTTGCAACAAATATTGGTGATATCAAGCGAGAAATCCAAACGAAGGTCCGAAATGCTAATCAGATCAACATCGTTTTGGCCCTGAAGGGCAGCAAGCACAGGTGCAAGTGAGAACATCGGATCGTCTATCAATTCCGAAAATAAAATTTCGCCGTTGAGAATAATTGAATCCGCCATTTTGTCAAGGATATCATACATCTTTGGCATAAATGGAAAATTTAAGGCCTTGCAACAAGCCTCATATCTTTTGGCCATTTTCTTTTCAGAGGCATCGCAAATTCCATTATCCTTGCACAAGTTTAAAGGGCTGGCGTTGGGCAAGGCTGGGGGGCTGGCACCGGGCAAGGGTAGGGGGCCGGTGTGAAGTGCACTTTCAGAAGTAATAACCGCTTCTTCATGAAGAATTAGAATCGAAGATTCAGGCAAAGATAGAACCAACCCCAACGACGTGGATAAAAGCAATTCTGACCCATCTGAAAGACACAATCTCAAGTTGGGTCTTTTCTGCCCATCGGAAAGCAATAAAACAAGATCGCCCACATTCATCGATGACACCTGAAGTGAGGATAAGGGAATCGAAATAATACGTCTAGATGAGTCTTCCCATCTGATTTTGACCACAATGGAAGGGGAAACCACCTGTGCCGGCCTCAAAGACGTGCAGTCATTAACTCCATTTATATGTTTGGTCACAGGCTTTCCGAATAGGCAATTTTCCAATTTTTTGTTATCATCAATGGTCCTTTTATGGCGATTGATGGCTTCCGAGGAAAAGGCGTCATCTGKCCCTTCTTTTGACTCATCATCGCTAAGAATGATGGCCAACCTTGGCTTAGTGTTGATCCTCTTTTTCGGACAAAAATCTTCTTCTTCCTTTCCATTTGCAATAAAGGACGTCAACTTTTCAGATGAAATTGGATTCCTGCTTAAAACGCCTTTGTCAAAAATATTGCCGTTACAATCGAAATTATCACGAGTGTAACGATAGTTTTTGTCGCAAGCATATTGCGAATTGTATTCCTCATCGTTGACCACAGGCTTCTTATTGATGAGGCGATCCACTGCTCTGGCATTTTGATGGGTGTCTCCTGAGGCATTAATGTTGGATTTTTTTGGTGCCAAAAATTGGGACCTAAAGAACTTTCCCGCAGATGCAAAGCTCTTGACTGGAAGATAAGCGAGTGAGCTTATTTTCTTTCTTTCCTTGTCAGGTGCGTTGGAAAATTTGCCCAACTTAAGACCAACTTTCTTTCCATGCTTTTTTGATTGTAAAACCATACCGCTGGAGGCAAGAGATTGGATGCTTTTAGTGGGCTTTCTTTCGCCAAAGTAATCAAAGGAAGACTCAAGCCACTCCACATATTCAAGATCCTCTTTACACGGGCCAAGAGGAGTAGAGGAGATGAGCGAGCAATATTTGGATACCTCAAGACCGGTCTTTTGCGTCATAGATGTAATATCCACGCTATAAAATGCTTGCTGCACCAGGGGAAACCGTTCTTGCAACCTTTTCTCGTCCCCTCCCTTTACAACTTGTAAATAATGGCTCATTAGCATCGCAATGTTGAAATACTCTCCGGTTTCATTTCCAAGTATTTGCGAAATAACAGCAATGGAGAGGTCAAGCTGATCCTTTGATGCAGGGATGTTCCCCAAGTTTCTGTAGCATTGGCATAAATACAAGTAAGACTCTGCCCTTTGCAGCATCTCTAAATCGGTATGTGCATCCCTGGAGCTTTGTACTTTCCAAGTGTCATATGCATAGCTCCACAGCCTTAATTGGGCAAAAGATCTGCCCAACACAGATCCTATTTCCCAAGATGAATCCTGCGAAAATAAGGGCCACAAATATCGGATTGCGTCAAGGGGCTGCTTAAGTTCGCTTTGGCAGCAAATCGCAGCGCTAAGCAAGATGTCACCAGAGACAATTGGCTGATCAGTTGAGACTTGAAGGAAACACAGCCCGGTACATTTAATTTCACACGTGCATTTGGACCAAGGGATCGCTTCATTGGTCGAATCTGCCGCAGAAATTAACGATGCTGCTGATGCCCGTTTATCGAGAAGCAGCTCGATTTCAGATATTCGTTCATTAATTAGAGACGCAAAAAACGAAAATTCCGCATCAGATGAGTTGGTCGATATGCGCAACGTCGCCATACAGGTGTGCAATGACTCCATGGCCTTATCGAGATGGCCCCAAGCCTCAAATAATATGGAAAATCTATAAATGATATCAACAACTCCCGACGAGTTGTTTAAAGCTCTATATATGTCAGAAGCTTCGGAAAATGACTAAATGTGGGCGAATCTGACAAACCTTCTCGGTAGCGACAAAGTTTCTCTCCTCGAGCAGCTTCATGCCTCTGTTTGTGTAGAATCTTGCCAACGCTTCATCATCTTGAATGGCGTTCGCAACAGAAAACGAGTTGGAAAAATAAAGTTCGCTATTTGAAGTGTCTTCAAGCCTCTCATAGGTCAGGGCCAGGTTAAGAAACGTGTTTGCCTTCATTCTTAAAACCTCTGTTGTCTCCTCAAAGCATTCCAATTCAGAAAGGGCAGACGAAAAGGCTCTTTTTGCTTCTTGCAAGTAAATCTTTGAAAATATCCCGGCCAGGTTATCATCCCGTTGCATATAAATGAGCCCCTGCTGAAAATAAGCAGCTTGCCTATTGGCCTTGACATTTGCTGCATCCAAAAATCGTTCTTGCGCAGAGTCAATAGATAAGCTTTTGCCTCCTGTCGACTTTGACGTACGATCGCACTCTGACAATTGAAAGTTTACATACATCAAGGCTTTGTCCCAAAGACAAATAGAAGAATCTGAAAGTATACCTGCAATGCTATGAAATGCATCACATTTCAAATCCGAATTCTTCATTGCCTTGGCAATGGAAAGCGCAGAGAAAAAATATTCCAAGGATTTATGGAGCTTTCCCGTTTTGACATAAAGATCGCCAATCGATGTACAGATATCATATTCCTCGTCCAAGTTACCCTGGCCCTTAAGACGAGAAAGCGATCTTTTAAAGTCCTCCAGATCTCGAGTATCTAATTGCTTTTCTATGGACTTTGACATAAATTGCCAATTAAAAATTACCCCAACTCGGTCAACTAACTGCCCTCCCCAATTTAAAATTTAAAAATTGCGACCTGTGTGGATTGAACACACGGCCTTAAGATCTTCAGTCTCACGCTCTCCCAGCTGAGCTAAGGTCGCACCAAAAAACTGAGGAAAAAAAATTTGATATTTTATAATACATTTTTGACACTAGATAGGCATGTTAATTGGTCTCTTTTCAATTCATGTATCAATTTAATACAATTTCATGCATCTTATGCAGTCCACCCTCCTATTGTCCCTCACAGCATGTGTAGATTGATATATTTTTACGCTCTCATTTTCATCAAAGTACTGTTGTATTCATTTGTCTCTTCTTCTTGTAACAGTTGTGCGGCTGCTCAAAAAGAACAAAAGCAGCCTTCTCAACCGCCCTCTCAACAGCCCTCTCAGCAGCCCTCTCAATACTATTTACTTGCAGATAGCTCTATTCTGGGTGGGGTGGGAATATCTCCAGCTGGAGATGGGACCCATCCAGAAATACTCGCCATTTCGGAATTAAAGTCAAAGCCGAACAAATGCCCGCTTTTGCCGTCTTCTTCGTTAAAACCCACGTGCACATCACCGGTATCTGAACATTTTATCCAAACCTTTGACCCATATACGACCATCATTAAAACTCTATATGGAACACACACCGAACTCTCCACAGCAACGCAATGCATTCCATTTGCTGCTGCGCCAGTGGTAGCGTCGACGATTTCGGCAACTCAAACGGTTGTCCAGTTTGCCTCTCCTCCCCAGCAGCCACAATTTATTCTTCCATATCCATCGTTTCCTCCGATCTTTAACCAACCCCTGCCAACAAGCAGCAAATGTACAGAGCTACTTTCTAATAATCAACTGCTTGCGCTGATCCACGAGCAAATGTGTGTTGGAAACGATCGCATGCGCCAAATGCTCAACGAAATTATTTCAAAAAGTGCGGTAACATCCTATTTTACAAAAACCATACTGCCTTCCTTCACTTCTACGCTGCCTATTTGCACCATATCAACATCTTCGGTTATTTCGACTTTTTCCAAACAAGGGGTTATACCACCATCACCCACCTCGCCGGCATGCATGTCGTTATGTAACAATGGTTTCCACCAGTTCCAAATAATGCCTCCACAAATACGAGTCGTGGTGGCTACTTCAACGTATCTATTACCCTCTTATGGGGCATTTACTGCACCATCACCATCGCCCCAATACTGTCCTTTCAGACAAGCAGCAACCCCCGATTCCTTTTAATAAAAACTTGAATGCAACGCTATGTGGTTTCCCAACTCACAAGGCGCCCGACAATTTTACGTATTTCTTTTCCAATTTATTGTTAATATAGCTACAGAGGGTCAAGTTATTATTTTGCATAGTAGGATGACTGACTAGGCTTTTGGGGAGGCGCTTGTGAGGATCCCAAGTTGATATTACCGCCGGCTGCAGGACCGCCTCGTTGATATGCAGAAGGCACCGGAGCTCCGCTTGAATATGGTTGCTGCATGGGCCCATTGTTAAGACTTGGGGGTCCAGTCTGCTTAAGATAAGTAGAGGGCATAGCTGAATAGTAAGACGAAAGGCCTACCCCGCTACTAGCGGCACCACCATAATATGCAGGAGGCTGTTGTTGTGATGCGCCTGCACCAGCTGGACCGCCACCACCAGCACTGCTTGAGACAACCCCATAAAAGCTACCTCGTTGCTGTTGTTGTGCCTGCGGTGATGGGTGTTGATGCTGATGTTGGTGCTGGTGCTGGTAATAGCTTCCCGGTGCTTGCATTCCGGCTTGCGATCCTTGAGATTGCAAAATAGGCGGTGCAAAAGAATGAAATCCTTGCTGTGAAAGATGAGGAGCTCCCTGATAGCCGAGTTGCGAGGGTTGAGATGAAGCCGATGGCGTTGGCGCATATTGTGGGTGTGGGTATTGTGAGGGAGTCTGGCCATAGCCCATATATGTTGGGGTTTGTTGGGGCACTGGGCCACCAGGCCTGTTTCCAGCATTGTATTGAGGAGCGGCATATCCCATTTGAGGCTGAGAAATAGGCAATGTCCCAGAGCCACTCGGCACAGATGCCGAAGATTGTAGCTGCATATGACCACCATATCCCGAAGCCTGCTGTGAAGAGGGAATCACGCCACCATATGGGTGCATTGATGCCACAGGCCCGCCAGAATAGGCAGTTGATGGCATTGACTGCGGCACGAGATGCTGTGGCTGACCTGGATTCTGATATTGTCCTGGTTGCTGATATTGATTTGAAGACTGACTTTGTGGCTGCATTGACTGCTGAACATGAAGATTGCTATACCTTGAAGCAGGAGCATCGCTTTCACTCCGGGAGTGAGATCTTTTTGAGGGAGGTGGTAAGCCCTCACTAGGCGAAGTGGTGGAAATTCCCTCTGCATATTTGGTCTTTGGCAGAGCCCGAGTTGTTTCTACCGTCTGCCCCTTGATTGTGTGGGGTTGGCATGACAGGGCATTTTGCAAGTCATTGGACGATTGAAAGGTAACAAATCCAAAGCCACGCGATTGGTTTGACTCCTGGTCGACCATCAGAGTGGCCGAAAGAACAGTTCCATAAGAAGAAAAGTATCTTTTTAGCTCGTCTTCAGTAGTACCCCAAGGCAGGCCACCGATGAACATCTTTTCAGATTTGTGTTGCGCGTCTCGCGGAATAGCAGGTTTTGGATCTACACGCTTTCCATCGACGTAATGGGTCTGGCTTATGATCACATCGACAACGGCCGGATCCTCAAATGTAACAAAAGCAAAACCACGAGTTTTTCCTTCCGGTGTTTTCATCACCACAGAATCAGAGAGCTTACCGTATTTGGAGAAGTATGTTTTCAGGGACTCGTCAGTAGTGTCCCAGCTAAGACCGCCAACAAAGATTTTTCCTTCATCGGGGTCCCTTGCCGGAGGTGCTGATCTTTGAGAAGAAAAGCCGGAAGATGAGTGGCGATGCGAGGATCTATCTCCGCCGTGGGAGGAGTGTCTTTCTCCAGAATTGGAAGATCTTTCAGCATCATTGGATGATTTATCCCCACCATGAGAAGATCTTTCCCTGCCGTGGGACGATGATCTTTCATTGTGCGAGGAGCCTCTGTCGCCATGGGACGAGCGATGATAGCCAGAATGGCCGTGACCGCTGGACTGATGGCGATGGTGATGGCCGCCACTGCTAGCATGTGATCCCCCAGAAGATTGCGGAGAAGTATTGGAAGTAGACTGAGAAGAGGGAGCTCGATCAACAAAATAATATGAGGAGGGTACAGTGGAAGTTTCTGCGCTAGCAGCATCAACTTTCGGTGCCAGTTGCTCCACATTTTTCGTTATTATTTCTACAGCAGTATCGGCGGAGACAGCCAAAGATTCCTCAAATGGAGTAGCTTGATTAAAATAAGCAGCGGGGGAATTTGTGCTAAGGGGTAGCAAATTAACCTTTGATTCATTATCTGCATTATCGTTTCCACCACCACCGCTGGGAACGGCATCACTTGAGCAAGAGTCGGCGGCACTATGAGGGCTATTTGAATCAGTAAATTTTAAATTATCCTGCTCATCTTCATTAGAAGTACTAATTAACTTTCGCTTTCTATTATCTCCATTACTGTGATTGTTAAAAGCGGTATTGCAACCAACATTATATCCACCACCATCGTCTGAGGAGTACTTATCGTTAGAGGGCACATTATCGCTTGAAGAGTGTATATCATCTACATTCGATGAATTATATTCATTGCAAAGTGGAAACTTTTCTTGATCCGATGATATTGTGTATTTAGTGTCATCAGCCTTGCTTTCTCCTATGGAAGAGGGGGCTGGGGATGCAAGAGGCAGTGGACCACGTAGGTGGTCCACTGCCTCTGGATAAAAATCACCTTGCGATGGTATTGTTGTTTGTTCATGCTCGGTGTCTGCTTGACTCATTGGGTTGGATTACACTGATGAGGAATAAAAATTATCGACAGCCTCGTATGTTGCTTATCATGTCAGTGCAAAATGTAAATCTTGAAAGTAAAATCTTATTTTTAAAAATTAAAAGTACTTATTTTTCATGCCCACAAAGGTAGTAGTTTTTGGTTCTGGCGATTGTGGGCAGCTGGGGCTTGGCGAGGATATTACGGAGCTGGAGCGGCCTATGGTGGTACCTTTTTTCGACGACAAAGACATTACCATTGTGAGTGCAGGCGGTCTTCATAATTTGGCCCTATCTTCGTCCGGCACACTTTATTCGTGGGGATGCAATGACGAAAAAGCCCTCGGTCATGATGAGCCAGAATGGAATATTGGAATCATTGCTCTTCCCCTTATGCCTTCCGAGCGGATCATTCAAATCACTTGTGGAGATTCAATATCTGCCGCGGTGACTTCCCAAGGTCGTGTATATTCATGGGGTACGTTTAGAGATTCTCAAGGGGTCCTTGGATTTTCTCCCTCAAATACCCAATTACAAGGAACCCCTCATTTGCTTGATACGAATAATATGAAGGTGGTTGACATTTCTGCTGGTGCAAATCATCTCGTTGCCATTGCGGGAGAAGCAAGAGATACCCTTATTTCGTGGGGATCTGGCGAGCAGGGACAATTGGGCCGTCGTGTTTTGGCCCGCCATAAAATCAATGGATTACGGCCAGTAAATATTACCCCCAAAAAAGGCATTCTCTCTCAATATGGGCTCGCTTCTGGATCATATTCGCGAATTGCTTGCGGTTCATATCACTCGCTTGCCATTACATCTTCGCTTATCCTTGCCTGGGGTTTGAACAATTACGGCCAACTAGGAAACGGGGATTCGTCTGGATCCCAAATGCTTCCATACCCAACTGCCATTCCCAATGGAACCAGCATTGTTGATGTTTCAGCGGGAGAACATCACTCGTTAGCTTTGCTTTCAGATGGACGTCTCTTTGCATGGGGGCGCGGAGATAGTGGTCAATTAGGCATTTCAAAGGATTTTACCTCTCCCTCATACAGCCCTATGCAGGTGGCGCCGACTTCTTTTGAAGCTCCCGTTCAAATGATAGCTTCCGGTAGCAATCACAATTTGGCTGTAGATACAAATCAAAACATATATTCTTGGGGGTTTGGCGCAATGGGCCAGCTTGGTGCGGGCTCCGATGAAGATCGGCATGTTCCAGAGCGTTTGATGCTTCCAAAATCACTTGCTTCGCTTGCCGGGCTCAAAGTCCGGCAAATCCAAGCCGGTGGCCAACATTCTCTTTTGTTGGTTGAACATCATTAGCAGGCTGTCCACAGCAACGAGCATCATGTGGCCAATTTTTTGTCAATAAATATTAGCGGCTCCCAACTTGAAAGTAGCCGTTGCATCGCTTTGTTTGGTGGTGCAGGTCACATTGTATTTGCAACGGAGTTTTATTAATTTAGTTTTGTATTCAAAGTACAGTGCTTCTGGATGGCCAACTAATATGAGCGATCAAGGCTTTTTTCATTACCTCAATAAATTTATAGAGCCGTTTGTCCCGATTAACAATCAGGCTGGAGACGTGTCCGCCCTTTCCTGCACGGCCTGTTCGCCCAACACGATGAATGAAATCAATTGCGTTTCGGGGAAAGTCATATAATATAACATGATTGACCTACGACGTGTGAGCAAAGCTATTGCCATTCCAAACCCTTGGGAAATCTAAACCACGGGACCCAACATCAGTGCAGATGAGAACCCTGCTTGAGCCGCTTCGAAAGGCTTCTACTGAGGCATCTCGATCCTATAGCTATGGAAGAGATACAATACTTTGGCTGTCATCGATCCTGTTAGGATCGATACTTTCGAGGATAATTCCGAGTTTTTTAAATACTCCGCCAAGGTTTCCACCGATTCAATGGTATTGCAAAAAACCATCACATGGCTTCCAACGGCTCCTTTCAGTATTTTTGAGCAAATGCCTTCAATTATAAAACAATACGCTTACGAGGCTTTGATGATCCAGCCAAAGAGACCTTGTAAAACTTTTGCTTAACAACATCGAGAGGCTTGTGAAGCTCCTTTGTATGTATAATCTTTGCGGCTGGTGCTAAATTTTTGATAACGTTTGAATAAAAAGGTTTGGATATGGAGGCCGTTACAAAGACCAGTGAGGCTAGGTGAGGAAGCAAGCATAAGTGCTTTAGATCGGCAATCCAATCCGTCTCAATTGGAGATGGCGCTGCCAAGATATCCGCCTCGTCAATTACTAGATGCCGAAGAAAATCTGTCGTAATTAGCGGATGCACTTTTTTAGAAACCGGCAATTGAGAAGATGTCAGCGGATTGGTTGTTCCTCGCCAATAGAGCAACTTGTTTCTGACCATCGACGAAAAAGCAGATGGATGCGTAACAAGGATATCTATTCCAGAGCTAGGCTTCCCAGCATAAGAGGGAACACATTTGATCAAGTCTTTCTAAGCAGGTGAAAACACCAGATAAATACCTTTGTGTATCCAGGAAGAATGATTCCGGATCTCAAATGATATTGTTTTGCTAAAAGTTTGACAATAGATATGATTTGAAGCGCTAGCTCTCTTGTTGGAGCAATAATGAGGGATTTAGGGCTAATTATTGTATCCCTCTTTGAAGGAGTTTCTGTTGATGGGGGGGCTTGATTCTCATCAAGCTTTAGCTTTGCCAATATCGGAATCAGGTAAGCTAAGGTTTTTCCTGTTCCTGTTTCGGCGGCCAACAGGGTGGAATGGTTGCGAAGAATTGATGGTATCCCCAGTTTTTGAATTTCAGAAAGTCTCAAAAATTTGTAAGTAGATGCGAGAATATCCAAGAGTGACTTTGGGATTCCTGCTATTTCCTTAAATGGACTGGCAGAATGTGCCATTGGAGGCTGGTTCTTTGCCACACCCTGAAACGACTCTTCGTGTTTCTTTAATTTGGCTGAAGCGATTGCCCTACCAGTTTTAGGTGTTTGCGAAAAATCGGATTCAGCTACAATCTGGAAGCGACTTGGGGTTACCAAATGTGCATCCTTGGCAATTGTTTTCCATTTCATTAGTTTCTTCAACTTTCGATTCTTCTGCTTGGACTCTATAAATGCCTTAAATGTAGAGCCCCCTTTCTTCCTTCCAAACTTGGGAAGATTGCTAGTAAATTTACCTTTCCCCGCCTTATTGAAATGCTTTTGTGATATCGAGCTTTTTGTTGAATAGAATGAATATTTTGGCGATCGCTTTTCACCTTTAGGCACATATGTAGCGCCTATTGAAATTAATTGAGAAATCCATTTGAGCATAAAAAGAAATCTTGGGGTTAGTATGAAAGTAAGTAGCTTTAAAGATTGTACATTAGGTTTTAATTTTAGAAGCCACTCGATTGGCTTAAATTATTGCTATTGCACATTGAAAATGGAATTACAGAAAAAACTCTACCGCATAGATGCACCACATTTGGGTTGTGCCAAATAGGGACCTTGATAAATGTTTGCCGCTCATACAGCAAATTGATAGAAAATGCTTCTCCAAAAAGGACTGTGTAATTAAAATGGACATGAAAGAAATTTTAAAGCCATCTGCGATTCTGATTTGCTCTGCTGTAACCGACCGGATAGTTGGATATGTCTTGCTGTCCTATACTCGTCAAGAAGCCTGCATGCGAGTATCCAAGGTTTTGACAGACATATATAATTTCCTAATAGATAGCTGTGCATCCTGAATTCCAAGGGAAAGGATTTGGCTCTCAATTGCTTGGAGAAGCAATAAAACTCGCCAGAGAAAGAAGGATCTCTTCAATTTTATTATACGTGGCTACATTTAGAATCGCAGCAATTCAGCTGTATACAAAGCACGGATTTACCAAAGACAAGCTGTTATCAAACTACTATTGTTCATCACCAAGCTCCACCACGCACAACGGCGATGCATATGAAATGCGGTTAACCCTTTCCATCGAGTAGATATTTTGGCATACATAACACCGATCTTGTTAAATATTTAAGACCTGCCTGCCACGGACCATTAAATTGTAAAATTGAATTAGATTTTAATCGCACGCGATTAAGATTTACATGCAAGTTGATATTTAAGACGGCAGTTTTTTGATCTATTGTGATGATTTTCAAAGCCCCCATCCTCGTCTGTGTGTTGTTCCTCGTGCTATCTGCAATAGACCTGTATTCTTGTGTGCATGTTGTATCTTTAAATGAAGGAAACTTTTCGCACGAGCTTGAGGGTAAAACTGCACTTGTCGTGTTCCAAACTAGCTGTAAGTTGCCTTGCATACTAAACATTTTTAGGGTGTGGACATTGCAATAAGCTGAAGCCAAAGCTTGAGGAGGCAGCAAAAACAGTCTCCCAACTTGGCTTTAATATTTACTCGGTCAGCTGTGAGGATGATTCGCAACTATGTCAAAAATTCCAGATTTCCGGATACCCTTCTCTAATCCTATTCCACAACGCAATTCGCGTCAAAGATTATCCAAATAACGCTGCTAGAGAAGTTCCCGAAATTGTTGAATTTATCAAGAAGGAAAACAGCCCGGCATTCTCGACGATCAATTCTGATGAAGATCTTGCTGCCATGCTTTCAGACAAAACAGCATACTCCGTCATTGCAATCATTCCTGAAGATCATCCAAAAAAGCTCGAGGCTATTGAAAAAGTTGGAGCCATGGCCAGAGCCAACAGAGACTTGGCCTCGTTTGCCATTACCCATCTTTCCAAAAGCGACCATTTGAAGCCATATCCTGAGGCAACCTTTTTAATTATCTCTGAAAATATTACCCATCTGACCAGCGACCTTTTGAAAGACGATGTTCTTACGCAGGTTCATCGTTTGAAACTCCCTCTGTATGGAAAGCTTGACGAAGAGACGTATCAGTCGTATTCTGAGGCAAAGCTTCCAATTGGGTTCTTGTTTGTGACGCCAGAAGAGGCCGAAACATACAAGGAAATGATGACCGATATTGCAAAAAAGTTTTCCGATTTGATCTCTATCGTTTGGTTTGATTCCACCATTTATGGAATATATGCCAACACGCTTGGTCTGTCTGGAATGAAATTTCCTTGCTTTGCAATCCATGACATGGAAACCGGATTTAAATTCCCATTTTCCGAAGACGTTCCGTTGGACTCTGATCATATTTCCAACTTTATTGAGGAAGTTTTTGCCGGAAAAATCTCGCCTTATTACAAATCGGAGCCGATTCCAGCCCACAATGATTCCGCTCCCGTTCAAAAGCTTGTGTTCAACAGCTTGAGCACGGTGCTTAACTCATCCAAGGCCGTTTTTATCAATTTTTGTGTGCCCAACCACGAAGGATGCATTGCCTTTGCCCCAAACTACCTTGAATTGGCCAATTCGTTCAAGGACCAACATGATAAAGTCCTTTTTGTCGAATTTGACTTGAATCAAAACGACCTACCTCTTGAGATCGAGTCCACCATAGAAAAGATCCCCGCTCTTTATCTGTATTTGCCCGAAACAAAGTCCTTCAGTGAATTTGTCAAATTTGAGGGCAAGCCTTACAAAACAAAGCTTGCTGAATTTCTCGTGGCCAGTTGCACGTAAGTATTTGTTTTAATTTCGTAGGCATGGACTAAAGTCTGTTGTTGTTGACTCGGATGACCATATATCGCAAAATTATGAAAGCAATCATGGATATTTTGACCATGATGATGCAGACTCTGGATTTGGAAGCGATTCGATGGACTTTGAAGAGCCTAGCCATGATGATGTGTAGTGCATGCGCAGTTTGGTTCATTAAAAAATTGCAATTGGCGTTTATTAAATTCACCATTTAAATTTTACCGAAACCCGTTTTGAAGTGCTACCAATTGGTGTGGAGGCATTGTAACTCTTTCCATTGAATTAGTCATATATAGTCCATTAAATTGCCCTTTCATTGTATCGTCTATTCATGAAATTGGCGATCCCGCTTCTCATATTCTATGCCCAATCGGTGCTAGCAGGAGCAGATGTCCTTTTTAAACAAGAAATGATCACCTCGATCTCTTCAAAAGGCGAGCTGGACTCGTTTTTGGCAAATAATCCGGTATCTCTGGTTTTGTTTTTTGCTTCTTGTAACAGATTTGCAGCTTTTATTGTTCTAGGGTGCGGATTTTGCCATCTTGTTCTCTCCGAGCTTTCTATTGCAAAGCAAAAGCTATCTTTGCATCCAGATGGTGCTGTTTCTCAAACCCCCGGGATCGCAAGCATTCGTTGCGATACTGCGAAAACTCTGTGCGACTCGATGAAGATTGACAACTACCCGAGTCTGCTTGCCTTTATGTTTGTCTTTGCCTATTTTCTAACCGTCTAGGAATGGGGCGTATGTAAAAGAGGTCTTTAGTTACGAGCACAAGAGGGTCATTGACTTGCTTCAAAAGTAAGGCGTGCACGTATTTTACGCCACTAGATTCGGCGCCAATTCTTTTGTTGAGCTCAGTGAACACTCTGCCATCACTGCGTTCTCATCAAAGGCAACTTCGGTTGTCGGATGCTTTACGGAGGCTTCGGATCGCAAGGCATTTTCAAAACTTGCCGAAGAATCCACAGATCTTTTCCATTTCGGATTGATATCCAAAGAGCTTTGCCCATCTATCTGCAAGGCACCCATGGTGAGGATAACCGACGCTTCCGGATTTCAAGAGGAAATTGAGTGGGACAGTGTCAGGTCCAATTTTACCTCCACTTTACTGGCTCGCTATTTGCCGCTGATATCGGACTACTCGCCTTTGGACAATGCTCTCCTTCGCCATTTATCCGGCTTGCCGGTCGGGGTGTTCTTCTATTTGCTTCCAGAAGACAGGAACATTCTGCAATCTAGAATCGACTCTATGCTTCAAAACTACCGCCATAAAATTACATTTGTCTTTGCCAATTGGATAGAGTCTGAGCATTTGGCAAGGGAATTCAAAATCCAAGAGCCAGTTTCGTGTGCCCTGCCCACTTTGTCTGTTGGATTTATCGAAAAGAAAAGATATTATTTATTCCCCGAATGCGGCCTTGCCACTTTAACGCCAGAATCGATCACAAGCTTTTTGGATGCGATTTTCGAGCACAAGATAGAACCATACTCTCGGTCGGAAGAAAGATTGCACCCTCAAGGCGATCTAAATGAAGATCCCAACGAGGATATGTCTTGCGAACAGGACGATAACTGTATTTCTGTCCTTAATAGGATCACTCATGATACTTTCCAGCATAGCGTCCTTGATGCCACAAAAAAAGAGCCGGTTCTTGTACAGTTGTATGCGGATTGGTGCATAGAGTGTCAAGATTTTGGAGAGGTTTTCAAATCCATCGCCACAAAGCTTGATAAAAGGGCCAAGCTCGTTTCGCTGAATGTTGATTTTAACGATCTTCCAAAAGATTCTGGAATCGAGAAACATAAGCGACTTCCTGAGATCTATCTGTATCCGAAATCCCCGGCCCATTCATCTTGTCAAGCAAGCCATCGCAACTGCACCGTTTTTATGCCGATTAAATACCAAGGCCCCTTAGAATGCGAGTCTATTATCGAGTTTTTTGAGAAGAACAAGGAGTATAATACCCTGGCGACATCTGCAGCCCACGCTGCAAGCGGCAGTGAATTTACGGCTACTCATGAAGAAGTTTGACAATTTTGGTGTACTTTAACGAACAATAAATTTATTAAATTTGCTGGGCAATCGGAGCCTCAGTCTAAACTTGACTTTCGCTTGACAAAAAGTTTAACCCCAATGCCTGCAGGCGTTTGGTCTTCAATGCGTTTCGCCTTTTAAGACGTAGGGATCTTTTCTCAATTTGCTCTTGAGATGGAGTGGTTGGATCTGTTGTGTTTTTCTTCTTTTTTGAGACGACAAATCGACGGTTGGCGCCTTTCCACATTTCAGCATGCACCGAGGAGGCTGGTAACACGTGGCATTTGAGAACCGAAGTGAACATCAGATAATTGTTCATGGTATCTGCCACTATTTCGGCCACATCTGGGTCGTTAAACTCTATAAATGCGTAATGCTTAGATGCGCCCGTCTAAAAATAACATAAGGCTTTTCAAGCTTACTTTTTTGTTTCGAGAAAGACGAAGGTTTACAATCGTTCCAAATTGAGAAAAATAGGCCTTCATTTGCTCTTCGTAGAATCCATGTGGGATATGGCCGAGATAAACCACATTGCTCATTTTGATGGGCGCCTCTTTTTTGCTGCCTTTTCTACCCGATACCGGCTGGTTGTCAGGAGGGGGCGCGGAAACAGGCAGGGAAAGCTCCACGGTGGACATTTGTTAAAATTTTAATTTTAAGCTCAATTTTTTTATTTTAAATTGCCCTTTTGAACGCTATGATTGGGTGTCTGCCTGATACAATTTCTAAATAGGCAGCGGTATCAATTCTCGATATTTATGGCATCAACGATAACGAAGAAATTTGGCCAGTTTAGACAGGTTGTCAATCACACATTGCTTATTTCCCAGTGGACCGGAGAGCGTCTGGGCACAGAGCGCAAGACGGAAGCAGCCAACGAGTTCAAAAACCTCAGCGCAGAGACCGAATTGAGGAAAGAAGGGCTTGAAAATCTGCATGGCACACTGGTGGTTTTTTTGAAAACATTTGGTTTGCTTGCGTAATTTACTTGCCCAGAAAAAAAGAGAATCAACCCGTTGGACACGAGGAAGCTACACCCACTTGAAACGCTGGGGATGCACATGACAAAGCAGGGAAGAATCGTCGGCATTGAAACGTCTTATGGTTTGCTTTGGCATTAACACATAATCTGATAGGCGGCGCCTTGGTCAAAAGTGGCGAGATTTTGCAAAAGCTAGCGAGCCAAGAGCTCAAATTTGTAACCCTCGTTAAGTAATGGCCCTAGTACTCGGATGGCAAAAGCTCTCTACTGGAACAACTGGGACAAATGCTATCGTTGATCAAAGAGTACCAGGTATTTGTTGGTTCGCTGCAACTAGTGTAGGCTTTGAAGAAAAAACTCTCAAATCGGCGTCTGGACTACGATTCCAAACTCAACAAGCTCAGGCGGAGCAAAAAGGAAAAGCCGGCACTTCAATTGGAGGTTGATGCTCTGCACTCAAAGTATTTGCAAAGCATTTCGGATTTGGAGGACATTATGCAAAGACTGAAGGATACAGAGGTGTACATTTTATGCCTTTTTTTAGTTGGACATATCTACCGGCCTGTATTACTTTATGGAAGCTCTGGCGGAGTACTACAAAAGCGGAAATGCGCTGATGGTCCAAGAAAAGGACACAATCTTTGGTCATTTAGGGTTTGGGGCTGGTTTCCTAATTTTAGCATCGATTTAAACGAAGCGCCTTTGCTGCATTGCAAGGCTCGTCGCTCAGAAGACGATCTATCATCTTCCATATCGTCGCTTGGGATCAGTAACAATGAAGAGATTCCGCTGTTGAAGAATAGGGGTCTCGGAGAAGCCGTTGTCAAGGTCAGAGCCAAATACGACTTTATGGCCGAAAGGTCTTCCGGAGAACTAGGCCTAACTGAGGGAGAGATTCTGCACTTGACAAGCAAAAACCCGCTTTGTTTGTCTCCAACCACAAGGACCGATGGAGCGGCGAACAGCGGCTGGTGGTCTGGCGTGAACAGTAAAAACGAAACGGGAATATTTCCGTCTGCTTACGTTGAGCTTGTGGGGTCAGAGGCCGATTTATCCGCTTTGCTTCGGACCGGTGAGACCAATTCTACCCAAACCACGTCTCCTTCTTCTTCGTGTTCTTTGTCTTCAAGCACGCACTTGAACTCTTCATCGACAGGGTTACATGTGGCGCCCATTTCGAAGCCTTTCCCGGTCTCCGGGAGCGCCAAAACCACCCCGTCCAGCTCCAATGGCAGTCTACATGCTCAAAAGGCGGTCGATGTCGGTGCACACTCGGGGACCTCGCCTATGTCATCCACCATTCCGGCTTGCTTTGTTTGTGGCTGCAACGAGTTTGCGAAGAATGTATTTAAAACAGATTCCTGCAATAACTGCTTCCATAAGCACAAGCAAAATAAAGTTCAATGAATTTATCTAACCCTACCACCTATGCATCGAGGTGTGTACGAGCACCACCACCGGCACTACTACCACCATCACTACCACCACCATCACTACCACCACCATCACTACCACCACCATCACTACCACCACCATCACTACCACCACCATCACTGTCTTCATGATATTCTTTTATAAAACAAAATGTAGGCATCTGTCGAGTATGCCTTTGAGGCGTCAATTTTGTAAACTGTAGAGTCACTGCAATAGTACCAAAAGGGACCAGACGCAGTGTTCATTCGCACGTGGGCAACATAATGTCCAGACTCCATGGTGGACCCAATGTGGATAACAAGTGCATATAGCTCATATAAAACCTTGGTGTTTGGCAGCATTTCACCGTTGAAAAACGGCGACATGTCCAGTTGCGGAGGGACAATAACCCTTTCCGCGCTTTTGGCAAAGCGTCCTCGAGAAACGGACGAAAAGCGTTTCAAGTGAAGAACAAGGACTTCCGGGAAGATCTCAATGCGATACCACTTTTCTGCCTTTCTAAAAGTTGGTAGCTTTTTAGTGCACGAGGAGCTGGGCGCTGCATTAAAGCTTCCATTGCTGCTTCCGAGTTTCGGGGGTTTGAGCAAGTCGCACGAATCGGTCTGCGAAGAAATAGAAATACTTGAAAGGCTATCTGAAAGTGAGCCAAGATAGGATTCTGCTGCAGCCTCGCCATCCTCGGATTGGCGCGGCAAACTTTGTGCGCCATCTTCCTTTTCTTCGCTGCTGCCCGTCAAATGGCTATCGGTGCTGCTATTGCTGGCCTTCGGAATCGACTCACCCTTTGCCAATCGAGAGCAATGCTCGCAGTCATATAAATAGTTGTCGTTCAGGTGATCCACTTCAAAATATTTCTCCAATAACGCAACAAGAGAAACTCCAGACGAGAAGCTCGGGAAAAGAGGTGTTTTTTTTGGTGAAGGAACCAGATCAAGACTTATGTCCAAAAAAGGCTCCTTTACTGTCGAAATCTAGGCAGCGTTTATAAATACGAAGGCATTACATTGTTGCAATGGTGGCAGCGAATCGTGGACGCCGTCAAGCCAGCAAACACGCGGTTCACAATTGTTGGCGAAATGGCGGCAGCACTTTTTTCCGCCTCTCCGCGCTTCGGAGTGTGCTCAATTAAAACATAGGGGCTCTCCACGGGTTGGGCACATCGGTCTTCCCGCTGCTCGGATTTTTTTTTCAAAATAATTTTCTCCTCTTCGTCGCCAAGAAACCCCAAAAAAAGGCGCAGAAATTCGTGTGCATCTTGCTGCCGTAGCCGTCTATATACAGGCCATTTGAACGCAATCGAGTAAAACAATGCCTTGGGGCACGCCGTTGGGCAAGTTAGAGCGCTTGAGCTTCGCGTCAGAAAAGTTCTAGGCGAATACGAAAACGATTGGCTTTGCGTAAGCGAGGAAAGGAAAAAATCCTTGCGAATCTCAATGGCGAATGAACGAAACGTGCTCATCAGCGCAAGCAATTGGATCGACTTTGACAAAAAGGACGAAATCTCGGTGGTTCCATTCAACGAATTGACGCTATGCGGAAACAAGCGACTCACCGGCTCATCGTAATCCAAAAAGTTTTCCTCCAATTTCTGGAAATCCTCGCAGATGATATTTGAGGCCTCTGAAATCAGGGCCGAGGGCTCGGAATCCCGGAGTTTTGGAGATTTCTCCCCCAAACTTGAAGGGTCGTATGTGTATAGAACGGAAGGGATCCCGAGCTTCGAAATCAGGGACTCCGTGGCAAGGAGAGCCTGCAGCGTGGAGTTGAAAAAGCAGGTGTTTCCTAAATTGTACAGCCCGACCGGCTTGAACTCAACACTCGAGATGGAAGGCAAGCAGGAGGCTGGCGGTGCATCCTCATTTTTGCTTTGGGGGCTCGACCCATTGCCAACAAGCGGATTGGGGGTGATTTGTTTTTTCTTTGGCATGGCAAAGCTGATTAATTCGCCGATCTTACCAATAATGGTGAAAAGAAAAAAGTGAAAAATCGAAAAAAAAAAGCCTACCAAAGTGGAATTGAGCACTGTGGATGTGTCGATTTAAAAAGCAAAGATGCACTGGTCAAAATGCTGGAAATGCAACAATGCTTTAATTGCCCCGAATTTAATGATGCAAATGGGTTGTTGGGTATTCAAAACCGTGCAAATCCGGAAAATTTAAAATCGGCACGCTTGTCAAACTTGTTCAATTGAACGTCCGGCCCGTCGTGACGCTGTTTTCGCCCCGATTTTAATTGGACTAAACTTAAATGGTTGGCTGGATGCATCTCTGATCATGTGGTGATCGCCATTGTTGGCATTTTGTTTTTGGTGCCCAATACCATAGACATCATCATGGGTTCCTTTGTACTTCCGTCCCTGCAAATTGACCCAATTTCCTTTTGGAGCTCGTTGCATCACTTGAAACTGGAGAGGTTCAAACTGGAAGAGGGCCCCTTCCCACTTTGGGGATTTTTGGATGTCGGGAAAAGTCACGCCTTTGTGAAGCTGGACGCCAACTCCTTTCTCAACAAAGAGCAGGCCAACTTGGATGCAGACGCAAAACATTCTTCGTTTGCCATTCCAGGCCATCTTTTGGTAAGCAATACCTTCTCAAACTACAAATCGGGCTCTTGGAAAAAATCGGCCCTCTCCTCGGTCTCAAAAATTGTAAACTTAATTTCCATTCACCTGGGCTAGGTATGGGAGCAGATGTCAATCAGCTCCATTCAGCAGGGCGATCCATTTTACCTGCTGTCTTTTGTTCTCTTTGTATATGCCGACCTCAAGGCCTTCAACTACAAGTATTCCTATGTGTTTCCAGCCTTTTTTTCGCCCAAAATCTTGTTAAATCATAGCCTGTCCCACTCGACAAATTTTATTTTAAATGCGCACAAAGTGCCGATCTTCTTTTGCGCCACATCCAGTTCAGACAACAAATTGGAGCAGCAGCAACCGGAACCGGATCTCTTCACCCTTCATCCTCTTTCGTACTCACATTCTTGCGAATTTGCAAAAAAATGTGCAAATTTTGACTCTTTTTTCTTTGGCATCAGAAATGATGTGTTCATTCCCTTTAAAAAACAGGCTTCAAGCTTCCTATTGAGCTGGCCTATTCGAAATTACATCATCCTTTTGTACAAGCTCTTTCGGATAAAAGAGTTTCGGATCTTACCGCTATACCAGTCCGACCTGTATGAAGTTTTCCATGAAAACGGGGCGCAAAAAATCAAGTTCCATGCGTCTGCAAATATGAACGAATGTTTTGTTCACGTGTCGTTTTCTGAATTTCCATGCACCGATTTTTCGGCCAAAAACCCGGAGGATCTGTTTGCGCTCACGGGATGGCAAACGGAGTCCAACGGCCTGGTGAAGGAGTTTGCGGTCAACTTTTCCGACTATTGCAATCCGATGGATATTTTAAAGTCTTCTCTTTCTCTAAATTTGAACTTGATGAAATGGAGGGTGCTGCCGGACCTCAATCTTGAGCGCTTGTCTTCTCAGCGCGTATTGATTTGTGGTGCCGGTACGTTGGGATGCAACATCGCTAGAGCGTTATTGGTATGCGTGCCTTGGCCTTCTTATATTGTGTAGGGATGGGGCGTTACCAACATCACATTTATTGACAGTGGAGTTGTCTCGTTATCGAATCCCGTGAGACAGTCCCTGTATTCATACTCCACCACTATGGGTTCTTCCAACAAGGCCGAGATGGCTGCGCAATCGCTAACCATGATCTATCCTTTGGTCAATTCCAAGGGCATTGTTATGAATATCCCCACCCTGGGTCAATGTACCGTTTCGCAGAACGAAATCCAAGAGCTTGAGGCTTTTGTGGTTGATGCTGACGTACTATTCCTGGTCACAGATACTAGAGAAAGCCGGTGGCTGCCCTCTGTGCTAGGTCTCCATCACAACAAGGTGGGGCTGCCTTTGATAAATAACCTCCTCTTCCTCCTAGCTGGTGATAACGGCTGCAATTGGGTTTGACTCCTTCCTTGTAATGCGAAACGGGGCCAATACACACAATACCGCGTCGAGTCCACGCGCACCTGACACCACATCGCTTGGGTGCTATTTTTGCCAGGACCCATATGCAGTGCCAGACGCAGTATATCTCCCACATATAACGCTAATTACAAGCAAATTCCAGAGCGTCCCATAGACATGGCATGCACCATTTCCCGGTCCGGCCTTTCCATGATTGCTTCTGGGATGAGCGTCGAGCTTTTTGCCGCCTGTGTGCAGTACTTTTGGGTGTCGTATTTTTTCTATAGAAAAGATCCAGCAAACGATGCCAAACATCCATTGGGATCTCCGCCCCACCAAATACGAGGAGATTTGTCATCCTTTTCCCAGCTTGTAAATTCATTCTCTGCAAGTGAAGACTGTATCTGCTGCTCACGGCAGGTATGCTGGTTGATTCTTTAACGATAGGTCCAAAATGCAATATCCGCACATCTTGAGGGTCCTGTGCGTCTTCGCCAGCTCAGCATTTGGCTGAGAACCCCAGCTCTTCTTCGGAAGCTGCTCGACAGCAATGGCCGTGCTCCATCTCAATGCTTAAGCACACTTTCTCTGGTTGAGTTTGAATAAATTTATGTGTTTGCAATCGCGGCTCTCCCATGGGAGCATTTGATGGGCAACTTTTAATTACGCCTTCCCTGGTGTCGGTTGGAACATGTTCATGGTAAAGGCAATCCCTGCGGCGTCTTCGGCAAGAAGGGGATCCTTTCGGACGGCCTTGGAAAATGCTTTCAAAAACGACGAGCGCTCCTTGGAAAAAGTCAACGGATTTGAAGAGGGTCCTCTTGGATAATAGGTGATTCCCAAAGTTTCCAAATCACATCGGATGTAATTCTGCAGCAGGCGATGTCTCTCCACTTGGCGACGCGTGTCAAGCGTCAGCTTACAGGGAATCCTAAATTTCAACGTAAGAATATCCAGATTTTCCCCAATAATTGGGGTAAAGTCTGGCTCAAAGCTGCCATGAAACAGATGCCTTCCTTGTGTCTTCAGAAATTCGGTTAGCCGAGCACGAAAGGCGTAAATTTGCTCTTCCGTTGTGTCGCAGCCTAGATACAGATTCACCTGCTCCCATTGCTCGTTAGAGCGTTTCCAATTGGTGATGTTCTTGCGAAGAAGCACCGGGTTGGGCATGTATATCTCGACTCCTGTGGAGTCTCGCATGGCAGTTTTCAAAACATCCACGCGGGAAATCACATAGCGCTTTGGATCGCCCTCAACGGTAACCTCGTCGCCAATATCAAAGGGATGGCACACAAAAAGGAACATCAACGAGTCAAAGGCGCTTTTTGCCCAATCGCCAATGACCACATTTAAGGCCAAGATGAAGGAAAGTGTAAGGGTCAAAATAGAAGAGACATTGGCACCCCAGATTACCCCGTAGATTAAAAGAAGGATTAGAGAAGTGGAAATGTTTAGTACCATATCCAGGGCTCTCAAAGCTTCTGCAGAGGAAGAAACCGAGCGTACCAAATTGCGATAATCCTTATGAACCTGCACAAAGACTTGCTTGAGCTCCGAACGCGTTACATTTCCATCGAGGTTCAAATCAAACACAGAATAGATCTCCGAAGCGGCCTCCTTGGACGCAAAAAGACGGAAAAAGTCACCCTGGTGAAGAGGGGGCACAAGCAGGTCCTTGCTGTAATACCCAGAAGGAAGAAAAGACTCTCCTTCAGGCTTGTGGGCAGCATTATCACAATTTAGGTCAATGGAGGGGTTCTTTCCACATGTCAAGACGTCAAAGATGAACGCCCCTCGCTTTTTACATTCTGGAATTGGAAGCCCCACATCGGATGAAGATGTCTCCTTTGCTATCATGAGGGAAAAATCAGGTCCAAAGATTCCGACGTTCTTTTTGAAGGTGGAAAAGTTGACCCAGTCTTTTTCTGTCAATAGGCGCAAGTCTGAAGCGTTTGAGGCAAAGTTTGTTCCCTCAATTGAGCTGCTGGTGACGCCAAAAAGATTCCTGAGGGCCCGGACAAGTCCTTCTGCCTGGATTACAGGAGTCGTCATGGGCCGTGTCTGCTGGTGATGAGAGGACGATGCATTTAGAGGGAGCAAGTTATCTTCATCGTCGTCCCTGTTCAAAGAATAGTACTCTTCATCGACATCGTCATCAAGATCATCTTGGGTCAGATTGCAAAGCTCTTCTTCTTCATTTTCGCCATCCTCCGCATCTGATTCTTCATTGAAAGAGTTCATGGAAGAATAGATGGCCGAGCGAGGTCTTTTTGGCTGCATATTGGCTGGCGTATAGAGCAGCCCCTTTTTGGCACCCTCAAATCTGCACACCGAAAATAGGAGATGTGTCACAAAGAGATGGTACCGATTGAGTAAAATTCTATCTCGATATACCTGGTCCTGATAAAGGATGGATGCCAGCATTACCAGAATCTTTGATACTGTGACTCCAATAAGCGTTACCAACGCACATTTGATGGCCTTTTTTGCAATAGAAAAGGCATAAACACAAGAGGAATCTTTTTCTCCGCCACTTCCGTCGCCTTTTCCGCCTCCATTCTGATCGTCTTTTCCGCCTTCTTCTTCTGCGTATGCATTCAAAAAATGGGGATCTTTGAAAGAAAAGGAAGAAAGTTTGAATTGTTCCATAAAAGAGGAGAGAATGGGGTCGGTTATGGCATTTCTATTGGAAGCTTTAGTATAAGAATTTTCACTGATGGTATCTCTGCATTGTTGCGGAGTATAAATGTCCAAAAGAATAAGGGCAGCAATAAAATAGAAGCTCATAATTATTTTGGTTCTAGATCTTCTCAATACGCGAACAACATAGAAATGTCTCCTTGGTGTCACTTGAACACTGATATCCTGCAGTATTCGTACACAAAAAGAGATCAAGAGCAACACCAAAACATTACTTGCAATTAAGATGGTCCAGTCGTAAAGCGATAAAAAGTACCATGTGGGGCCTTCCCCTCCTCCCTCAAATATGTATTTGTACGCCAGATATGGCAATGAAATAAAAATGGGAAACAAGAACAGATATAAGAGGTGCTTTTTTAAATAGCCGGAAAAGTTTGATGTTCTACTATTAACCAAAAGAGCATCGTCATCATCATCGTCTTCGTCTTCCAGTTGTGATGAAGTTCTCCCGGTAAACCGGACCTTTTTTTCTCTCGGGCTCATTGTGCGGTGATGGGCCGCAAATGCATAGATTTAAAGAGCTAAGGGTTCTTCCCATAGGTGAATTGTGAAGTTCTGCTTTAAAATTCGGCAAATAGGCACTTTCCGTTCTTTGTGTGATGGTTTCAGACAAAATTTAAAAATCCACATTTTTAAAAGAGACTCCAAGTGAAGTACGTTGTGAATTGTACTTAACCCTAATTCAAAAAGTGCACACTCCATTGCATAAAAGGCCTGGAACGCCGCAAATGGCACGAAACCCCTGAAATGCGGGAACGGCACATGTCCGTGCGGTCATACATACGCGCATGCATTGCCAAAAGAATGGCATGCAATTGGATGCTTGCAAACACCCTCATTTCACAGTTGAATTAATTTGAAATTTTCGGGTCAAATCAAATTAACGCGTTTGCTCACATGATGTACAATTGCTCGTGTGTGCTAAGCAAACAAGTAAAATCAGCACGCATTAAGAATTTGGCTCCACAATATCCGTTCACAAAGCGGCCTTTATGTATGCAAGACCAGAGCTATTGCAGCATCCTGGGCGTCCCATGTTTGAATTGGGGTTGAGACACCTGGTGAGCTTCAACCACTCACTGGTGCAATCGACGGGTTTAGGGTTAGAGAGCCAACAATAGCGCCTAAATCGAACCGAGAGCGCCACAGCTAATCTGAAAGACACCCGTCTATGATAGCTTGGAATTTCCAAATTCATTAAAAAATCGGGTACGGCTTTCCTAGCTTTTTTTGGCAAGGTTTGGACAGTCCGTTATAACGGCGTTAAATCCGGCTGTTCTTGCCATTTCAATGTCTGCCGTTGAGTTCAACACCCATACAAATATCAATTTGTGGGCTTGATGGACACGATCAATAACCTGAGATGGAGCTTTTTTGACGGCATCCCAATCGATGGAAAAAATGTCAATCAGGTCAGAGGCCAATGCTTCTTCTGGAATAGCCAATGAAGAGGTCGATTTTGGGGGCCAATGCTCGTGAATCAGCATGATTTGATGGCGGTTAGCAAATAACTCCTTCGCCTTGAAGAGGAACTCTTGGTTCCACACCCCTAGTATTAGCCTTTCGGGAGTAAAATCATGTATCGATAGGATCGCTTGTAATTTATCAAGAATCGCAATAGGATTGTCCTCCTTGATGTCTAAAACAACCGTACATCGGTCATAGGGTGGCTGCAGGAGAGAATTCAACAGGTCCTTCAGCAAAGGGATGCATTGGCTTTCGTTTTTTGTTCTCAAATGGTCAATGTAGCCGTGATATGGAAGATCACTAACCACGCCTGTTCCATTTGTTGTTCTATCAACCCTACAATAAAGGAAAACAAACCAACGTAGTATCGTGCATCAAAATGATCTCGTCATCAGATGTGATTCGCAAATCGGTCTCAATCCCCATAGCTCCCGCGTCTATAGCTTTAAGGTGCGATAGAATAGTATTTTCGGGATACAAATGGCAGAAGCCCCGATGCCCAAATATAAGCATCTCGTGAATTTAAAATTTTATTCTTCAAATGGACAAACGTCCATTTTTCTCGTGTGCGAGGCTCAAGTTTCTGCCGTCGTTGGGCAAAATTTTCAGGGCATCATCAAATCCCTCTACATTTGCCAAGGGCAAGTTGTCGTCCTACTTCTCGCTTCTCCTTCCCGAATCGCGCCTGCTGGCATGTAAGAAGGTATATTTTCCCTGTTAGTTGGATCACTATTAATGGTCGGTTCAACGTCCATTTCCATGTACGTCCCTCATGGGATTGGGCAAGTTTTGGATTCCATTTCTGATCAAAGCTCTTCGAGCAATGTTATTCCTCTTCTCACCACAATGTCTGCAGTTTTTGTTGCAGGAACAGGCATTAACTTTGGAAGAATTGCAATTTTCAAATGGGCCAACGAGAAAATAGTCAACAATGTTAGAAAGGCCCTTTTCGACGCATACCTCTCGAAGGAGATGTCATTTTTTGACAAGGGCTCAACTGGAGATATCATAACGGTATCAATTCAGAGATCGCAATAATTACCTTAGAGGTTCGCTTCTGACGCTCCCATTGCAGGGAAGGCAATCACGTCAAACCTGTCCGATGCAATTAAAAATGTAGGGCAGGGCATCGTTGGCACTGTAATGATGTATGGGATCAGTGCAAAATTGTGCGCATGTCTGATTGGAATCCTTCCGCCAATAGCAATTCTGGGAATCTTTTTTGGAAAAATTGTCAAAAAAATATCCTTCCAATCGCAAGAATCGCTTTCTGCATGCCTTTCTTTTGCAGAGGAGCGCTTTTCGAGCATCAAGACCGTAAAAATCTTTGGCCGCGAAAAGGAGGAATCTTCCGCTTTCAGCAAGAAAATCGAATCTATACTTGCCCTTGCTCGAAAGGAAAGTATTGCTGCCGGGTCAATGTACGCAATGACTGGCGCGCTGGCAAATGCGTCTTTGATATTTTTACTATCACTCTCTAGCTCTATGATACTTGCAAATGAGATAACCATAGGCGCTCTCACTTCATTTTTGATGTATACCGCGTACGTTGGAGGCTCCGTATCTCGTAATAATCGGCCTTTCATTAAATTACTAGGTCTTTCTAATGTTTTTTCGGAATTTCTTAAAGGATACGGTGCATTTGAACGCATAGCGCCTTTGCTGGGCCCCATTTTGAGGGAACCCCGTGCTCGCGAGCTCGAGTCGCCCATTTTACGGGGACATGTTTCATTTGAAAATGTAAAGTTTACCTATTTTGGCAAAGAGGGCGAGTATATCCTCGATGGGTTCACTGCACCACAGCTTGCTTGTCCAGGAAAAATCACCGTCTTGGTAGGTCCAAGTGGAAAGGGGAAGTCCACGCTTATTTCTCTCTTACTGCGATTGTATCCCGTGTCATCTGGAAAAATTATGATTGACAACACACATAATTTGGAATCGATCGACTTAAATTGGCTGAAGGAAAAAGTTGCGGTCGTGCCACAAGATCCCCAGTTGTTCCAAGAGAGCATCGCCAACAACATTGCCTATGGGAAGATAGGTGCCTCGGATCAGGAAATAATGGAAGCAGCCAAACTCGCAAATGCTCATGGGTTCATTGAAAATCTTCYCAATCGATATGACACAGTGATAGGAGAGCGGGGATGTACCCTTTCCGGAGGCCAAAGGCAGCGAATAGCATTAACCAGGGCTTTGATCAAAAATGCTTCTATCTTGATTTTAGATGAGCCTACTTCTGCCCTAGACACCGAGAATGAGTCTTTGATTCACAAAATGCTCCAACGGCTTGCTGCAGACGGAATTTCCATCGTCATTATTACACACAAAGAAGCCACAGCTGCAATTGCAGATTTGAAGATCGAATTAATTTAAATTTAAATTTAAAGAATAAAATTGAAATTTTACGTAAATCTAAAATGGTGCAAGTTTGATTTTTGTGATTCAGAAATTTTTATTATGTCGAAGGTATTTGTCGGACGCATTTCAAACCGTGTTTCGGAGCAAGATCTAAGTGACCTTTTTTCAAAGTATGGAAAGGTATCGCATGTACACATGAAGGTATCATTAATACACCCTAATGTAACAGCAAAATTTCGCATTTGTGCACATGGATACTCCTCTTTCGGCCCAGGAGGCAATTAAGGAGCTCAATGGCTCGCAATTGGCCGGAGATACGATCACCGTCGAACTGGCCAAATCAGAGGTCGAGGGTGGGGTAAGCGATGGCGGTGTTCGTCGCTCCTCTTTTCGTCGCTTTGATAACAACCGATATTATCCCGATTCTGACCGTCCCCGCCCATTTCGAAATGGACCTGATGTTGAAGAGTATGGCAGGCGGAACTATAACAGATATGATTCTCGAGATGGTCTGGATTCCAGAAATCTCTACGAAAGGGGCAGATATGAGTATGGGCCCAGAGACCGCTTTGATCCCCGAGGCGAAAGAGATGTCGGCGGACGCCGTGGGGGCATGCTGCCTCCTCCGCCGCCCCCCGGTTCAGGCTCTTCTGTTTCCGCGTCTTATAATGACCCTGCTTCGCCTGCCCCATCGGGAGCACTTCGAATGGATCGTGAAATGAGGGGAGGTGGGGCTCCACCTCATTATCGCCCTGATGAATATTACCCACCTCCTGGCGACTATCGGGGTCGTGATGGTTTCAATGCTCGTCGTCGCGCATATTCACCACCGGGCGGATTTCATGAAAGACCGCCCTCCATGAGATACCCGCCAGAGGATGACCGCTATGACTACCCACGTAGAGGCGGCTACGGACCTGGAGCAAACCCCAGCGAGTTTGGCGGAAGAAATCCGCCTGAATATGAACCGTAAGCCATTGTGGAGTGATTTATCCTTCAACTAGAGGTTTTCATCGCCGACCACCAGGCTGCTTCGAATGTGGCCGTCCAGATCACAAGGCTATCGCTTGCCCGTACATTTTGCGGACATAATTTCTAGATCTCGTCGCGGTACTTCAGAAGAGGATGGCTCTCGTCGTTATCGTGATAACAGATCAAGATCTCCGGCATCTCGCTTTGACAATCCTCGCTCTCCTCCTACTAGCAACCCCTCGAGCAGATTTGAGCAACCCTCGTCTATTGCTCCGGGTTCTGATGCTCAGCGCACCTCCTCTTGGGGCTCGGGCTACTCCTCGCCCAGCAGAAGAACACAGGGAAGCTCTTTCAATAATGATGACGTCCGCTCTCCCAGCCCCGTCGCTCAATACTACGAAGATATGTAGTCTCACTCTATTGGCCCTTTGTACTCAATATATTATGACGAGATTACTTCTACTATTACTACCGCTGTTATCTGTATAACTGCTGTTGCTAGTTGTTAATGGTGGCTGCTGATGTCGACTATCGATGTCAATGTTGACGTCGGCTATCGATGTCAATGTTGACGTCGGCTATCGATCTCAATGTTGATTTCGGCTATCGATCTCAATGTTGATTTCGGCTATCGATGTCAATGTTGACGTCGGCT